GTGGTGGCTCACACCTGTAATCCCAGTACTTTGGGCGGCCGAGGCAGGTGGGTCATTTGAGGTCAGGAGATCAAGACCAGCCTGACCAACATGGAGAAACCCCATCTCTACTAAAAATACAAAAAATTAGCCAGGTGTGCTGGTGGGCATCTGTAATCTCAGCTACTCGGGAGGCTGAGACAGGAAAATCGCTTGAACTTGGGAGGCAGAGGTTGCAGTGAGCTGAGATCCCACCACTGCACTCCAGCGTGGGTGGCAGAGCAAGACTCTATCTCAAAAAAAAAAGACAAAAAACCAACAACAAAAAAGCACAGCATCACTGATGTTACTTTTAACATCTCTAACGCAGTATCACTCATAGTGCAGGGAAAGCGTAAGGAAGATGAGCAGGAAGGACATGCTTCATGTGGTGGATTGGAACTAAGCAGCGGGTGTGGCTGGAGAGGAGGAGGCTGGCGAGGCACCCAGAAGACCTGTGGCCCTGCTGAGGCCGTGCGGCGCTGAGGCCTCCTCCTGCCCTGCTAAGGTCATGTGGTGCTGAGGCCTCCTTCTGCCCTGCTAAGGTCATGTGGTGCTGAGGCCTCCTTCTGCCCTGCTAAGGCCGTGTGGCGCTGAGGCCTCCTTCTGTCCTGCTAAGGTCATGTGGTGCTGAGGCCTTTCGAGCCTTCTGCCTTTCCAGTCATGGCATCTGAAAATGAGGGGAGTTTTAGTTCCTCCTTTTTTTCATGTTTAATCTATTTTTTAATTAACAGATAAAATTGATGTCTTTGTCATGTACACGACGATGTTTTGAAGTATATCTGCGTCGTGGAATGACCACATCTAGCTAGTTAACACATGTACTGCGTCATAGTCATCAGTTTGGGGGCATTTTTCAAGAACGTAATCTCTCATTACTAACTGTATAGTCACCATGTCGTACAGTGGTCTCTTGAGCTTATTCTTCCCAGCTAACTGAAGTGTTGTGTCTTTTGTTAGTTTTTCCTTTTTGATCTTTATGCCTTTTATTTATTTTTCTAGCTTTCTTGCATTAACTAGGATTTCCAGTAAATTGTTGTCTACCAGTGCTGAGAGCAGACATCTTGCCTTGTTCCTGGTCTTAGCAAGAGAGCGCGATTAAGTCTTATGTTAGATGTCAGTTTTTTGTAGTTGTCATTTCTAAATTTTGTTGGTGATCCAGTGTTCCCCATTCTGCTAATGTCGTTTACTACAGTGATTTTTTTTTAATGTTACACCAACCTTGCATTCCTGGGATGAATCACACCTGGTCATGACGTATTATCCTTATTATGTTTTGCCGGAATCAACTTGCTAGTATTTTCTTGAGGATTTTTTGTGTCTGTGCTCATGAGTGATCTCTTTCCTTAATTTGGTCTTTATACCCTCTTTGGTTAGTGTTACGCCAACCTCAAGAAATGGGCTGGGAACTCTTCTCCTCTCTCTAATGAAAGACTGTTTATAAGCTTGTTGTGATTTCTTCCTTAAGTGTTTGGTGTAATTTAGCAGCGGAGCCATCTGTTTTCTATTTTCTATTTCATGGATTTCCGTTTACTTCCTTTCATCTGTGTTTTTCCTCACAGATTTATTTATTATTTAAATATTTTAACAGTTGTGTTGAGATAAAAATGAGATAATCAGGCTGCATGTTTTGAATGTTTCGGCTTGTGTCATGCATGTTTGTGTGTGTCACACACTGTGTCTGCCGCGCTAATCAAGGCAGCAGGCATGCACGTTGGCGCCACGTCTCCCTCCTCCCCATGGTGACTCTTCGCCCTGCTTTCCTGTTTCCATCCCAGGAAACCGCTGATTGACTTTCTGTTACTATAGGTTTGTCTGCATTTTCTAGACTTTTCTGTACACAAAGCTGTAGGTATGTACTATTTTTGGCCTGGCTTCTTTTACTCGGCATACTGCATTTTAGTGTGTCATTCACGTTGTTGCGTCTAACAGCAGTTTCATCCTTTTTATTGCCGGGTAGTGTTACAACTGTGAATAATTTGTTCACTCACCTGTTGATGGACATTTGGGTTGTTTCCGTTTTTAGGCTGTTGTGCATGAAGCTGCTGGATACAAGTCTTTGTACACACGCATGCCCTCATTTTTCTTGGGTAAATACACAACAGCGTAATGTCAGGGCTGGATTGTTCGTTTATGTTAACCTTTTTAAGAAATCGCCAATGATCATGAGGACAGGAGATCGAGACCATCCTGGCTAACACAGTGAAACCCTGTCTCTACTAAAAAATATAAAACAAAATTAGCTGGACATGGTGGCCCGTGCCTCTAGTCCCAGCTACTTGGGAGGCAGAGGCAGGAGAATGGCGTGAACCCGAGAGGCAGAGCTTGCAGTGAGCCGAGATCGTGCCACTGCACTCCAGCCTGGGCGACAGTGAGACTCCGTCTCAAAAAAAAAAAAAAAAAATCGCCAAAATGTTTTCCAGAGTGATTGTACCATTTTCCATTTCCAAAAGCTGTGCGTAAGCATTCCAGTCGCTGCACATCCTCAGCAGCACTTGGTCTGGGCGGTTTTTAAATGTTGGATGTTCTGTTAGGTGTGGAGTCCTATCTTAGCGGCTTCAGTTTGCATGTCTCTCATGGGCAGTGGTGCGACACGTTGTGTGCTTGTCACAAGTATGTCTTTGGTGATGTGTCTATTCATATCTTTTGCACATTAAAAATTCTGTTGTTTTCTGGGCGTGGCGGCTCATACTTGTAGTCCCAGCACTTCGGGAGGCTTCAGCCCTGGAGTTTAAGACCCACCTGGGCAACTTGGCAAAACCTTGTCTCTACAAAAAATAAAGCAATTAGCCGGGTGTGGTGACACATGCCTGTAGCCCAGCTTCTTGGGAGGCTGAGGTGGGAGGACCACTTGAGCCCAGAGGTCGAGGCAGTGGGCTGTGAGAGTTCCTCTGCAGTCCATCCCGGTGACAGAGTAGGACCCGTCTCAGAAGAAAAAAAATTGTTGTTGTTACTTGGATTTTTAAAATATTTTCTCGATAGAAGTCCTTTATTAGGTATATGATTTGCAAAACCTAGTAGTGATTTATCTTTTCATTCTCTGACCAGTGTATTTCAGAAAGCAGAAATTCCTGAAGTCCATTTGTGATTATTTTTCTTTTATGGGTCATGCTTTTGTGCTCTATGTAAAAAAATCTCTGCCTAACCGCGGGCATGTGAAAGCGCAGGTGGTTTTTGTACGTTGCTCTTACATTCGACAACCCGACAACCTTCCGGAATGCGTTTATTAGTTACAGTAGCTTTTCTTTTGTAGATTTCACCAGATTTTCTACGGATAAAAATATTTTTACTTCTTTCTTTATCTGGATGCCTTTTATTTCTTTTTCTTGATTGATGGTGCTGGCGAGAACTTCCTCACAGTGTCGACCCTCAGTGGTGAGAATGAGGATTCCTGCCTCCTTCCTGATTTTCAAGGGGAGGACCTGACTTTGCACCATCAAATGCAGCGTTCCTGTTGGTCTCTCACGATGCCGTCTATCAGGCCGTGGAGGTTTCTTTCTGTTCCTCATTTGCTGAGAGTTTCAAATTTCATGATGTGGTTTTTCCACTGCGGAAAGCTAAAAGAAAGCTAAGCAAATTAGACCCCAAAACAATAGAATTAAATTGTTCAAATGTTAAACCAAGTCTGCTCTTGATGTCTTGTTGGGCTTGGTTTGCTGTTTTATGAAGAATTCTTGGGTCCACGTTTGTGAATGATGTTGGTGCGTATTCTCTTTTATATCTTTTCCTCTTTTGGGCGTCGGAGAAGGAGGTCCCCTCTCTTGTTCTGGGTATTGGTGATCTGTCCTCTTTCTCTCTCTCTCTCTCTGGATCAGTCTGTCTAGAATTTATCAGTTTCCTTTGTCTTTAGAGAACTGCTTGTGGTTTTGTTTTTTCCCTTCTGTTGACCTCTGTTCTTAGGTTACTTGTTTCTGTCTCTGGAGTAGAGCAAGTGAAAGGCAGTGGTGTATGCACTGGGGCCGTGCACGCTGGGGCCGTGTGTGTGGGGCCGTGCACGCTGGGGCCATGTACGCTGGAGTTGTGCGTGTGGGGCCATGCACGCTGGGGCTGTGCGTAGGGGGCCGTGCACGCTGGGGCCGTGTGTGGGGGACCGTGCACGCCGGGACCGTGTACTCTGGGGTTGTGTGTGTGGGTCTGTGCACGCTGGGGCCATGTACACTGGGGTTGTGCGTGTGGGGCTGTGCACACTGGGGCCGTGCGTGTGGGGCTTTGCACGCTGGGGCCATGCATGGGGGGCCGTGCACGCTGGGGCCGTGTATGTGGGGCCGTGCACGCTGGGGCCATGTACGCTAGGGTTGTGTGTGTGTGGGGCCGTGCATGCTGGGGCCGTGTGTGTGGGGCCGTGCACGCTGGGGCCATGTACGCTGGGGTTGTGTGTGTGGGGCCGTGTATGTGGGGCCGTGCACGCTGGGGCTGTGTATGTGGGGCCGTGCACGCTGGGGCCGTGTCGGAGGGAGCTGTGCACGCTGGGGCCGTGCATGCTGGGGCTGTGCATGCTGGGGTTGTGTGTGTGGGGCTGTGTACGCTGGGGCTGTACGTGTGGAGCTGTGCACGCTGGGGTTGTGTGTGTGGGGCTGTGCATGCTGGGGCCGTGCACACTGGGGCTGTGTGTGTGGGGCTGTGCACATTGGGGCCGTGTTTGGGGCGTGTACGCTGGGGCCATGTGTGGGGGGCTGTGTACGCTGGGCCTGTTGGGGGGGGGCCGTGTACACTGGGGCTGTGTGTGTGGGGCTGTGCACGCTGGGGTTGTGTGTGTGGGGCTGTGCATGCTGGGGCCGTGCACACTGGGGCTGTGTGTGTGGGGCTGTGCACATTGGGGCCGTGTTGGGGGGAGGCATGTACGCTGGGGCCGTTATGTTTTGTAGAAAACTGCTGGCCACAGCCACAAGTCAATTTGTATTTTACTTAGTGAAGGTATTTTTTAAGCCTAGTATGTTAAATAAAATCATAGCGTTAAACTGACAAGTCTTTTTAATTTTCAGGAGGGTTTGCATTTGTGTATGAAGCTCAAGATGTGGGGAGTGGCAGAGAGTATGCATTAAAGGTAATGAACCATTTAACACCTTCTCTGGATGTTTGACGGATGTAAGGGAACTCTCTGGTGACAGTGTTTTCAGGGATGCGTCCCTGTTACTTACTTTGTTTCCTTTTACAGCCTGGACATACTTGTCCCTTTTACTTCGGCTGAAGCTCAGCAGTCTTGGGTGCTGCAGGAGCCTTGGTCTCCGGCTTTGGGCTTCGCACCCCTGTGGGCCCTGCCTGCCGTGTGGAGGGGGCTGTGCTGGGGATGACCTCACGGTGAGGTCTGGGCCTCCATGTGCCAAAATAAGGGCTCTGTGAATACAAGGAGTTTAAAAGCTGCTTGTAAGAAATATGTGTTGACAGCATGTCTGTAAATAGGGGTCACTGTGGGAGGGTCTGTACCGTGTGGTTTTGGCCTGAGACGTAAGAAGGTCCCATGTGCTGTCACCATGCTGGGCACCAGGGTGGCCCCCCTTTGAGAGCGGGCACAAGTGGGCCTGTTCTGGCGGTGTGCACGCATGCCGCCCCCGTGTCTGCAGAGCGTCTCCGCTCTGCCTTCTTGTTTGTCTCATTTTACTTTGGCCTGTTTGGAGGAAAGGCTCCCATTTTTGCCTTTTCTTGTGTCCTTGGATCACAAAGATCTTTCAAGGGTCTTGATCCCCTGTCATGTTTTTACTTGGGTCAAAGGTGGAAATGCATGAAACAGGGGGAGCTGTATTGGACGCATTGCATTGCTCTCTCGCCTGCTTATGTCTGAGATGACGCATCGGGTGAAGTGGGAAGGTAAACTTTTTTTTATCTTTTGTGTGTGCTGTTTCCTGATACAGAGGCTATTATCCAATGAAGAGGAAAAGAACAGAGCCATCATTCAAGAAGTTTGCTTCATGGTATCCTTTTCCTGGAACCAGGAGCCAGCACAATGGCTTTGGCAGGCACAGGCCTGTGTCAAGCCGTGGCCGCCAGTGACCAAGAGGCTACTCTGTGACATTGTCTTTCATGTGTTAAAATCGGTTTTTTGCTTTTACCAAACTTATCTGTAGGCGACTTCTAGTAAGAAGCAGTTTTTTTCTGTTTCTTACTGCCAGGGTAGTAGTCAAAAGTTTCAGAAGTGTTGGGAATGGAGTTGTTCCTATCCAAGAGGTCTCCCTGCCCAGTGCTGGGCCGGTCACCGCAGGGGATGGGCCGGTCACTGCAGTTGATGGGCCGGTCACCGCAGGGGATGGGCCGGTGACTGCCCTCAGACTGCTTGTGTTTCCGCTCCTAGCTCTGTTCACTCAGAGAGCCCGCCGACTGCCTGAGTGCGGGTTCAGGTGGACACGGCCGCTCCACAGCCTCCCTGCGCACAGCCCCTGAGGGCCCTGCCTCCTCCTGCTGGGCGCGGGATGGGCTTTGGTGTCGCTGTGGTCAGGTGTGTGTGGCCGGCGTGCCTGCCTTTGTCCCTGCCCTCTCCTGCGGCTTCTCCTGTCTCTGTCTGCCTTTCTTGTGCTTGTGGTCATCCACCACTCTCTCCCTCATCTTCCGCTCTGACATCTAAAATTGTAAGGGGGTTCGATTCAAGTATTCTGACTTCAGTGTCTTAATATTGTGTACATTTATTTTTAAGCACACGGAACTGTGTACATGGTTCTGCACATTCTCCTTTAACAAGACAACTGCAGAAAAAGCTTTCCGGCCACCCGAACATCGTACAGTTTTGTTCTGCAGCATCCATAGGAAAAGAGGAGTCGGACACGGGGCAGGCCGAGTTCCTCCTGCTCACAGAGCTCTGTAAAGGTAACGTCCTGTGAAGGCTGCCTTGGTACTTCTAACCCAGCGGAGGCCGGCCTGGTGCCTCCTGACCCAGCGGAGGCCGGCCTGGTGCCTCCTGACCCGGCCACACGGCTGTGAGACATGCCCAGCGCCTTCTCTCAAGCTGTGTTGGTCTTAGCGGGAAGCGCGGGCAGCTGTCTGACAGGAGTTCTGTGAGAGGCCCACGCGGATGCCCCGTGAGCTCCCACCATCTGGGTGGGCCCCCTGTGTTGTCTCCTCGCAGAGCTGCGGGCAGCCAGAGAGCCGGGCTCCCATCCTGCCCGTCTCCAGTGACAGCACGGGGTGGAGCATGGTGGCCTTCCGTGAGCAGCGTTGAGCAGGGTGGAGGAGTGTCTGTCCTTCTCAGGGCTCTGGGTTCCCAGCGGGGTGGAGCGCAGTGGCCTTCCGTGAGCGGCGTTGAGCAGGGGTGGAGGAGTGCTGCTGTCTGTCCTCGTCAGGGGCTCTGGGGTCTTGGCGAGGAGAGGAGAGGCTGCAGAGGTGGACAACTCCAGGTCCCTCTGTGGGTGCCCGACCTCATGAGGGTTGAGCCCAGGAAGATGGCAGAACGACTTCGTGGTCCGTTGGGCAGGACAGGAAGAGGGGCCAGCGAACTGGGGTAGTGCTTTCGGAGAGTCCTAGGGGCCGAGTGGGTTGTGTGAGTGACTGCGGGGGATGTTGTGTTGGTGTCACTGGAGCCCACGCTGACTGGCCTGAGACCCGGCCTAGCCTTGCTGAGCTTCAGGCTGTATCTGCAAAGGGGAATCAAGACCTGTGCCTGGGAGGGCGGCTCCACCCCCAGCCCCTGCCTCGTGCCGGTGCCCTCCAGAGCTCCTGGGCCAGGTGGTGAGGGGAAGTTGGGCACTCGGGGAGGCCTGAGAGCTGCAGCCTGGCCACTGAGGGGTAGTGACACCGGTGGCTCCCCTGCATCTGTCACCCAGGCAGGGAGAGTGGGGACAGGAGAGGCTGGGAGCAGCAGGAGAGACAGGGGCAGGGAACCCCACAGAGGGAAGCCTGTGGAGAGGGCACCTGTAGTCGCGTGAGAGCTGTCGTCCAAAGCCAGCCACTGCTCAGCCGCCAGGAGGAGCTGTTCCTGCTTGCGGGCTGGCGCAGGCCTGAGGGGACAGGTAGGGATGAGGCAGCAGGTTAGCAGAGGGGGCGGCAGGAGGGGCGTGTGTCCAGAAATGGAGGGCGAGCAGGGGTTTCTGAGCTGAGGGGGAACCCCCGCACTGAGCAGGGCCCTGAGCTTCGTGGAAGGGGCCCTGTGCTTAGTGGAGCGGGGACTGCACTTAGTGGGGTGGGGGGACCTTTTGTGGGGAGCTTGCATTTAGTCAGGGGGCCCTGAGCTTAATGGAGGGGGGACTGTGCTTAGCGGGGTGGGGGACCCTTGCTTTGTGGGGGGCCTGCATTTAGTTGGGGGGCCCTGAGCTTGAGAGAGGACTGCGCGTAGCCGGAGGGGCTCTGTACTGCCGAGGGAAGGTGTGTCCCTGTGCTATGCTGGGGTAGCCCTGCGCTGAGTGAGGGAGGGTGGACTGTGGGGTGTGAGCTGCTTGGACGTATCGGCTGCACCTGTGAGTGCCCTGTCGGGCAGGGTCTCCTCTCTGCAGCTGTGCCTGGGCGGAGCTGGGTGAGACCTGACTGCCTGCGGGCCCCTGGCTCTGCCCATGCTCCTCTGCCTGGGGGCCCCACCTGGCCCTTCCTTGGTGCCACGCCTGGTAGCTGGCCCAGGCCCCTCTGCGGCCCTCCAGCGCCTGTTGCCAGGGTTGTCCTGATGCGGGTGGCGAATGGGTGCTTGTCGTGGCCGAGAAGTCTCAGGGGTGGGAGGCGGTCAGAGCCGCCTGAGGGCTGAGGAGATGCTGCCAGGTAGCCTCAGTTCCTCAGCTGACACTGTGGGGATGTGCCGCTTATGTTTCTCAACATTGTGTTCTGCAACGTCAAACCTGGGGAAAATTTGAAGGCAGCACAGGGGGCATCCACTGTCCACTTCCTGCTCGTGGGGTTCCCCAGACTTGAGCGGGTCCCACGGCGGCTTTCCCTCTCTCCTTTCTTTTTTTTTTTTTAAGACAGAGTCTCACTCTGCCACCCAGGCTGGAGTGCAGTGGCCGGATCTCAGCTCACTGCAAGCTCCGCCTCCCGGGTTCACGCCATTCTCCCGCCTCAGCCTCCCGAGTAGCTGGGACTACAGGCGCCCGCCACCTCGCCCGGCTAGTTTTTTGTATTTTTTGGTAGAGACAGGGTTTCACTGGCTTAGCCAGGCTGGTCTCGATCTCCTGACCTCATGATCCGCCCGTCTTGGCCTCCCAAAGTGCTGGGATTACAGGCTTGAGCCACCGCGCCCGGCCCCCTCTCTCCTTTCTAACCATTTAAAAAAACGTCCCAGACATCAAGACCAGAAAGTCTCATAACGTTATACAGCCTGAGAGAAATTCCGTGACGGCCACCGCTGTTTGTGCGCCTGAGAAGATCCTCGCGATGTGGTGAGGCTGTGCTGTGTCATCTGTGCTGGGTCCTTCCTGTCCCTGTTTCCCCCATCCCTGTCTCCCTGGTCCCTGACACGTCACTCCCAGCCCCTCCCGTGCGTCCTTGCAGTCCATGCTGGGCTGTGTCCCCCGCCCCTGACACGTCGCTCCCAGCCCCTCCCGTGCGTCCATGCAGTCTGTGCTGGGCTGTCTCCCCCGTCCCTGACACATTGCTCCCAGCCCGTCCCATGTGTGCATGCAGTCCGTGCTGGGCTGTCTCCCCCGTCCCTGACACGCCACCCCCAGCCCTTCCTGTGTGTACACCAAGGCCTAGTCAAGGCTGATTTGTGTGGTTGGTTGAGGTGTCTGTCTGTCAGTCTCTGTTGTCCATGGCACTTTTTTCTCTGGATGTCCCTGGGCTTGGACACCAGCTCCTGGGCTATGCTTCCAGGGCCTCCCACAGAGCTGGGAGGTGCTGAAACCAGCGGGATGCAGATTCCTCCAGCGCACGCGTCACACCATAGGGCCTCCCGCTCGTGGTGTTACTCATTGTCAGTTTTATTATAAAAGAATACGTGCTCACTGACAAAATACAAATAACACAGAGTTAGGCCAGGCGTGGTGGCTCACGCCTGTAATCCCAGCACTTTGGGAGTCTGAGGTGGGTGGATCACTTGAGTCCAGGAGTTCGAGACCAGCCTGACCAGCATGGCGAAACCCTGTTTCTTTTGTATTGTAAAAATACAAAAATTAGCCAGGCATGGTAGCGGCTGCCTGTAATCCCAGCTACTCGGGAGGCTGAGGCAGGAGAGTCGCTTGAACCCGGGAGGCGGAGGTTGCAGTGAGCCAAGATCACGCCACTGCACTCCAGCCTGAGTGACAGAGCAAGACTCCATCTCAAAAAAAAGAAAAAAACAACAACCCAGTTGTATGGGTGCTTATAAAACTGGGATTTTACTTTATATAATTTTCCTTTTTAAAAATTTACTATTATCAGGCATGTTTTTTTTGGAGACAGGGTCTTGCTCTGTTGCCCAAGCTGGAGTGCAATGGTTCATAGCTCACTGTAGCTTCAAACTCCTGGGCTCAAGCAATCCTCCCGCCGTAGCCTCTGGAGTAACTGGGACTATAGGCGTGCACCACCATGCCCAGCTAATTTTAAAGAGTAAATTTTTCTTAGAGACAGAGTCTCACCATGTTGCCAGGCTGGTCTTGAACGCGTGAGCTCAAGCAGTCCGCCCATCTTGACCTCCTGTAGCACTGGGATTACAGGTGTTGGCCACTGTGCCTGGCTAAGTTTTGTATTTTCGTAGAGATGGTGTCTCACTGTGTTGCCCAGGCTGGTCTTGAACTCCTGGGCTCAAGTGATCCTCCCGCTGAGGCCTCCTGAGGTGCTGAGATCGCTGGCGAGAGCGCCCTGCTCAGGTGTCTTTCCACACAGCGCGGTCGCTTCGTGCCATCCAGAAGGCTGCTTGGTTTTCCTGGTGTGGATGCATCACTGCGTCTTCTGTTCGAGGCCCGTGGGCTTCTTCCTGGGGCTGCAGCCTGCCTGCTGTGTGAGCCTTGCCCCACCCTCTGCCCAGCACACTTGGGGCAACTTGAATAAAGGCCAGATGGGGCTTCCTGTTGGTCTAGTGATGGATGTTTTTCTGTTTATGTCCCTTGCTCGTCATTTGGGAGAGCAGAAAGCCTTTGCAAGGGGTAAATCTTGGCTCTAGACATCCCGGCTTTGGAAAGCTTGAGCAGGACATGTGTGAGAACTGAAGCTGCTTAGTATCCAGTGTGTTCCCAGGATAGTGTGCGTAAGGGAGTGGCGGGGGTGGGGCCGGAGCCAGCGGCTCAGCGCTGCTCCTGCGTGGGGTAGTGTGGGAAGGAGAGGGGTCGGGCCCAGCCCCTGGAGTCATAAATACATGAGGCAAATTAACACCTGCACACCCTGCCGGCACACTCCCAAGGACTGCCTGTCTGGAGCAGCGTGTGCGGCTGGAGAGCTGAGCCGCAGGGCTCTGTGGATGGCACGACTGTGCCAGGGGAGAGCCGCGGCATCTCTGAGAAGTGGGAGGGACGTGGGCTCCCCCGTGCAGCTGCAGGTACAGGGCTCACTAGAGGCCTGGAGGTCGGACTCCGGGGATGTGCCCGGCCCCTCGCATGAGGCAGCCCCTCCAACGCACTCTCAGGGAAGAGCCACGTAGCCGTTCCCCACTCAGCCACATACAGAATTTTTAGTTTTGAAAACCCCATTTATTCTCACTGAGAATGAGGCACTGAACAGGGAGGCCGGTGACCGCAGACACAGACTCGCCCATCCGTGGTGTTGGAGCCAGCGTAGAGGGCAACCCACCCCGTTCTGACTCCCCGGCCTGGCCTCGCCTCTCCCGGGTCTGTTCCTCTCTTTCTAAGCACCTGTTCCTCCCGTGGGTGCCCCTCATTTTTCCTGAGAGCCCCCCTGTTTCTCTGAGGGTCAGCACGAAGCTTTTGAGGGAGCTGCGGTGGGGGCTGCGAGGGCTTTCACCTGGGGTTGAGGGCCGGGGCTGGCAGAGCTGGGGGAGTGGGAGGGCCCCTCAGCTGGGTGCCTGGAGACTCCATGGCAGGCGGGGCAGTGCTGGGCTCTGCTGGGGGCATGCAGGCGGGTCCGGTGTGTGAGTCGATTCCAGCGTGGCCCAGCCCGAGCTGTGGCGGGTCCCAGCCTGCTCTCACGCCATGCCTTCGTTGTCAGTGGGATTGAGTCGGCTGCATGCTCTGCCGTGTGCAGGCACCAGGGGCTCAGTGACTCGCCAGACACAGCTGATCCATGCCTACGCCAGATCGCTGGGTGGCTCAAAGAGCCAGCGGGAGAATGAGTCCCAGGAGAAGGGTGCACGTTTCGGTGGTTTGGGCAGAGTTGGTTCCCTGGGAGGTGAGCGGAAGGGGCCGTCTGGGAGGCATCCTGGCCGCAGAAGCAGCGTGCGAGGGGTCCTGAGGCCGGGAGGAAGGGAGGCCGGTGTGGCTGGGGACACAAGCTCTGGCAGCGTGGGGGAGACCCTGGGTGCGGGTTCCGTGGGTGGTGGCGCTGGTCTTGGCTCTGGGGCTGCGTGGGTGGTGGCCTTCGGGGCGTGGAGTGGGGTGAGCAGAGGGTAGAGAGCAGAGGCAGGAGCTTGGGGCTGAAGAGGTGGAGCACAGGATGCAGAGGCTCCAGGGTGATGCCACACGTGGGCTGTGGCCAACTGAGATGGGCAAGACCCAGGGTAAGATCAGGGGAGGGGCAGGATGGGTTGGGTCTGCGCATCTGTGGGGGCCACGTGGGGTGCTGGGGTGACTGGTAGTGTGAATGCTCTGGTCCCCAGCAGGTCCTCAGCCCTGCATGCGTCCCGGCTCCACACTCCTGGTTTCCTGGTTGGGCCAGGGCAGGGGTACCTGGAAGGTGCCAGCCACGGCAGGACAGTCTCCCTGGGGTGTGGGCCGCGTGCAGGCATTGAGACTGTGTGAATGTGAGAATGATCATTTGTCATCTAAGGACACGGAGTGTTCACTTAGAGGTTTGAGCACTTGTGTATTTGTACTCATCTCTCTCTGTGTCCATGTTAATGACACGCCTGGCTCGGTTGCCAGGACGCAGATGTAGTTCTCATGTTAACGACTCGCAGACTCGGCTGCCGGGACACCCACGTGGTTCTCACGTTCACGGCTCGCAGACTCGGCTGCCGGGACACCCACGTGGTTCTCACGTTCACGGCTCGCAGGCTCGGCTGCCGGGACGCCGATGTGGTTGTTGCTTCGGTGGCGCCTGGGCGTCTTGCCCCCTGGCCTCTGCTCTGTGACTTGACTGTGGGGCTGCTCCAGGCCCACCCCTGCTGCTGGGTGGTGGTCCCACACGGGGCTGTGGTGGGCATCCTCATACCCGCAGCCCTTTCTGCAGCAGCTGAAGGAAAGGTGGGAGCGGCACTCAGGGTGAGCTCGACTGGGGCTGTGGCTGGAAAAGGCTATGTGGCCCAGCGTGGCGCAGTCTGTAACATGGCCCAGCGTGGCAGAGTGTCTAATGTGGCCTGGGGTGTGGCGGAGCCTGAAGCGTGGCCCGGCATGGCACAGTCCGCAACGTGGCCTGGGGGGTGGCAGAGTCTGTAACGTGACCTGGGGGTGGTGGAGTCCGTAGCATGGCCTGGGGCATGGGGGAGTCTAGTGTGGCCCAGCATGGCAGAGTCCGTAGCGTGGCCTGGCGTGGTGGAGTCCGTAGCGTGGCCTGGGGCCAGGGAGGGCAGAGCACTGATAGCTCCATGGTGATGTTAACAGGAGAGGGTGGTGACTGCAAGTTGTCCAGGTTCTTGGCGTTTTGAACAAATTGGGCAAAACGTCCAGCCAAACAAAGAATGAAGCAACAAAAGAATGGAAGCAGGGATTTATTGAAAATGAAAGTACACTCAACAGCGTGGGGGTGGCCCGAGCAGCGGCTCAAGGGCCTAGATGCAGAATTTTCTCGGGTCCAAATACCCCCAGAAGTTTCCCACTGGCCACTTCGTGCTCACCTCATGTAAACGAAGTGGTAACCTGCCATCAGCCTGATGGTTGCAGAAAGCAGCCAACCAGAAGGTCACACTCCTGTGCAAACATCTGATTGATTAGGAATCAGATTGGAGGCAAGGTTGAAGTTACAAAGTTGCAAATGAAGACCAGACCTGCAGTCAGGCAATTTCCCATCTGCCAGGCAGAAAAGGTCAAAGGGAGTCACCTCTGGTCCTTTTGTTACTCAGGTGTGAAAAGTTAGAGTTTTCCTTTCCATTTAGTTTTGGGAAGTCCAAGTGAAACAGCGTTAGGTTCCCTGCCTCCAGACCCTGTTCTCCTGCCTCCATGTGAGTTTCATTCTCTTTTAGGGCAGCTGGTGGAATTTTTGAAGAAAATGGAGTCTCGAGGTCCCCTGTCGTGCGACACGGTTCTGAAGATCTTCTACCAGACGTGCCGTGCTGTGCAGCACATGCACCGGCAGAAGCCGCCCATCATCCACAGGGACCTCAAGGTAGCGGCTCCCTCCACACGCGGCTCACAGCCTCTGGGGGGTCCCGCTTGGTTAGGATGCGGGGGTGAGAGCAGGTGAGCTGCACCATCTCACCTACAAGATGTGTGTGAGCCTCCCAACGGTGGAAGCGGATCTTCCAGAAACGTCGCCTTTCCAGCCCTGAAGGAAATTTCCGTCTGTCTCACAGGCCTTTGCCAACAGAGGGGATGGCCCCACCTCTGTGCTGGGGGCCTTCACTCGCAGCCGGGGGTGCTCACAGCCTGGAGCTTCTGTCTGGAATTCCAGGTCCCCATGCTGGGCGCTTGCTCACTCCGTTCTCTGTGGGGAGCTTCGGACAAGGGTGCTCGCCAGTGGTGTCACTTCAGGCCCCCCATTCCTGCTCACCCTACGCTCCTTCCTCAGTCCCCCAGTGGTGTCAGTTCAGGCTTCCCATTCCTGCTCAGCCCCTGCCCCTTCCTCAGCCCCCCAGAGGTGTTGGCCCAGGCCCCCAACTCCTGCTCACCCCGTGCGCCTTCCTTGGCCCCTGGGCAGTCCTGCACTCCGCAGTCCCTCCCTGGTTTGGCCTCTTGGAGCCGGGAGGAAGCCCAGCGCTCCTCTGTTTGGCCCTGTCACAGGCGCTGGGATGGGGGGCTGGACCCCTTACCTGCTCAGCTTGAGGGGAGCTCTCTGTACTTCCTGACTGTCCCCCCACTGCACCTCCCATTCTGTTCATGGGCAGACTCCCCTGCCCATCTCTGCTATCATCACAGGTTTCTCTGAGGCGTGGCATCCGGGGGTTGCTGTGATGTGGGCATGAGCCACTGGCTACATGTAACAGGGCCGGCCACTGCCTAGCACCACACTACCACACAGCGTGCTTCTGCTGGGCCGGGGCCTGCCTGCAGCTCCTCCGTGCTCACCACACCGCCACACAGGTGCTTCTGGGCCGGGCTGGGCCTGCGCTGCCTCCGTGCCTCCACCATACCGCCACAGCAAGGTGCTTCTGGGCCGGGGCCGGGCCTGCGCTCCATGCTGCCGCTGGCACTGTGTGGTTTCCGTGTAACGTGGCTGCTTCCCACAGCTCCACAGAGGACACTCCCACCCCGTGGGCCGTCCGTGCCCCGAGCTGCCTGTGTTGATTTTGGCTGGTCTGCTGGGGGAGTATAGTCTGATGGGTTGTGATTTTGCGTTTTCCTGATATTAACGAAGTTGAATGTTTGTTGTAGTCATTCAGGTCTTGTTCTTCAGTAAACTTCGTTTTGTTTTTGCGTTTTTAGAATTTTTTCCAGTGGCTTGTGTGTTTGGTTCATTGGAGCAGCTTGTGTGTTCTCATAATCTGCTAAATGTTGCCTGTGCTGCCGGCGTCTTGTTTGTGGCCCAGTTTTCACTCCCGCAGTGTTTTCTAAAAAACGCAGGACCTTGTGAGGCTTCTCCCGTATCCATGGAGCTTGTGCCCGGCCTGCCCGTGGTGGCTCCCGGCCTGCCCGTGGTGGCTCCGTCTTCCTTGCTGAAGCAGTTGCTTTTGCTGAAGAGGTCTTTTGGGGTATTTTTTTTTTTTTTTTGAGTCAGAGTCTGGCTCTACAGCCTAGGCTGGAGTGCAGCGGCACTAACAGGGTTCACTGTTGCCTTGACCGGCTGGGCCCGGGTGATCTCCCACCTCAGCCTCCTGAGTAGCTGGGACCACAGGCGCACACCACGCCTGCCTAGTTTTTGTATTTTCAGTAGAGGTGGAGTTTCGCCATGTTGCCCAAGCTGGTCTGGAACTCCTGAGCTCAAGTGATCCACCTGCCTCAGCCTCTGAAAGTGCTGGGATTCCAGGCGTGAGCCACCGCGCCCAGCCTGCTGAACAGTTTTAAAGCCTCATCACTCCCAGATGCTTTTGTCCATGTCTCTGGGGACGTGAGGACATTTCTGTTTTGTTTTCTTAGGCGGAGTCTTGCTCTGTCACCCAGGCTGGTGTGCAGTGGCGCGATCTCAGTTCACTGCAGCCTCTGCCTCCCGGGTTCCAGCGATTCTCCTGCCTCAGCCTCCTGGGTAGCTGGGATTACAGGTACCTGCCACCATGCCTGGCTAATTTTGTATTTTTAGTAAAGACAGGGTTTCACCGTGTTTCCCAGGCTGGTATTGAACTCCTGGCTTCAGATGATCCTCCTGTCTTGGCCTCCCGCAGTGCTGGGATTACAGGCAGAAGCTACCACACCCGGCCAGGACATTTTCTATGTGGTTTCGACACCATTATCTGCAGTGAGGTGGGAGGAACCGAGCCTTGTTTCTTGCCCTCTTATTCTCAGCCCTGGTTTTCCCAAAGTGTGGCTTCTCTCAGACCTCCCTAATCTGGAGCGGCACCTCTGGCCACGGCTTGTGGAGGACGCCCTGTGCTGACCTTGGCTCCCCACCGCTGCTCCGGCCGAGGGGATGAGACCAGTGAGGCCCCAGCCTCGTGGCGTCTCTTGTGGAGCACGACGCTGTTTCAGGTCCTGCTCCCAGCACCCACCCCAGCTGCTCCTCCAGGGGCTAAAATCCACCTGGCATGTGTCTGGAGGTTTCGTCCACCTGGAATTGACCTTGTGTGACCTGAGGTGGGGGCTGTGTCCTTGTGTCTACCTGGCCCTGCACCCAGTGCGTTGGCTCGTGTCTGCCCATGCGGCCACCTGGGCCCACCTCCTCTCCAGCATCCGCTCGTGGGTACCTAGGAGGCCCTGGAGCCCCCCAGGTTTCCCCGTGTGCCCTGGGTGGGGGTGCCCAAGCCGCAGCTCTCTGTGTGCCCTGGGTGGGGGTGCCCAAGCCGCGGGCACCCACACCGAGCTGTTCTTCCTACACAGGCTCATTCTGCCTCAGCCCACCTGGGGCCAAGGCTGTGGCAGACAGCTTCTCTCTGCGTTTCTCTGGTTAGGGCCGCCTTTTCTCTACTTGGCTGTATGCCCACACTTTGTAGCACAGGTGTCTTCACGTAGATTTTGAATATGGGTAAGGGTGACCTTTGTCGTTTATCCCCTGAACTCAGAGGGCCTAGAATGCCAGGGTGTAAGGTGGCTGGCTGGGCAGATGCCTGTGGGTGCTGCTGTGGAGCCTTCTCCTGAGCCCCAGGCCCTTTTGCTCCTGCTCCTTCCTTTTCTCCCTCCCTCTCTTCCTTCTGTTTCTTCTTTCCTTGTATTTTCCTTTTCTGAAAGTACGTTCTGCCCAGCACACAGGGTTGCTTTCCAGGGAAGCTTCTTCAAGGTTGCAAGCAAGACCCCTGGTTTCCAGAAACCCATGTGCCTGAGGCCCCGTTGTGACGGAAGGGGCTGCAGGGCTCCAGGAGGGGCCGGTTCTGCGCCATGGAAGGTGCTGTTTGCTGTCTGGTTCTTCCTGAGGAGGCTCTGAGTGGCAGGTTTTCTCACGGCACCGAGACCCTCCTGGTTTGCGTTGTTGAAGTGCGATGGGTCGTGTAGCGGGGCTTGAGAGTGTATTTTAAGGAAAACGGTAATGGAAGGGTTGAAGTTCGTGAAGAATCAGGGCTTGTGAGCCAGGCCTGCACTTCACAGCCCTGGTCTTTGCTGCTGCTCCACGGTGACGTGGCAGGAGCCCAGGCCAGCACCGCAGCCCGCGGGTGTGCACCTGTGGCCTCCGCTGCAGGAGTCTGCACGGCTGTTTGCGGAGGGGCAGGCAGCACGCGCGGCCCCACTCGCCTGCCCCGTGCCTTGTCCTGCTGTGCACACAACTTCTTCTCTGTTGGCTGTAGAATGGGAACAGGCACACGCGAGGGGGCGGGGCGCTCCTGGGCCTTCAGTGGCCGCGTGCCGCTGCGTCTCCCCCTGTCTGCATCTGAGCCAGGGTCACTGATCTTTTCTCCTCTGGACGTCCTGTGAGTGGAGCCTGGCCCCACGCTCTGCATCGGGTTCTCTTGCTCAGCCCTGTGCTTCAGAGGCCTCTGTCCGAGTGTGTCCCGCATCTCCTCGAGGACCAGTGGTGGCCTTCGGCTTCGCTGGGTTTCTCTGGTCGGCCATGGGTGGCGTGCCTGTCCGTTTCTTTCCCTTGTTTATGATGAGCTATCCTGTCTGCACCGTGTGGACAGCCTGTCCAGCTTGCTGGTCCATGGAGCAGGCGTCCTCTCTAGGACCGGGGTCTGCAGGCCACTGTGGTCAGAGAGCGTCGGCATCTAACCCTGGGCGTTCCCTTGCACTCTTGGATGCCACGGCTCTGCCTTTTGCCAGCTCGGGGCATGGCGGGTGGTGCTCCCTCAGTCTGTCCTGGGTGCCCGTGGCCTTGGTTTGCATTTTTCTCCTGTCGACGAGGCTGGCTTGTCAGAACTTGGGCTTCCTCTGGGGAGGTGCCTGCCTTTTCCCCGACTTGCCTTCTCCTCGATGCCTGTGGGAGCCCAGACTGGCCGCGTGCATGCCGAGCACCTTCCATCTGTGGCTGGCACGCTGCCCTCCCGGAGCTCTGTGCTGGCATTGTTCTTACCCTCCAGAGGGGATGCCTGTGCTGGCCGTCCTGCCACGTCTGTGCTGTCTTGTTGAAGAAGCCACTCCTTCCCTGTCTCAGAAGGAGCTCCTCTGGGCTGTCTCCCGAAAGATCTGTGGTTTGCCCTGATGTTGGGGCTGAGGCTTCCTTGGTTACGTGAGCTGTGGGATGAGGCCTTCTCCTCTTGTTCCACGTGGGTGCCTGGTGCTGGCAGCTGTTTGCCATGGCTCTGCCGTGAAGACGGGTGTGTGCTGTGTGGGGCTGAGTCACTGCGTTGCCGCCTTGTCGCAGGTGCGGCCTCTGGCGTCCGTGGCTTCTCAGTGGCACTCGCTGGACTCCCTGTTGGGCCCGAGCTCCCGGGCCCTGTCATCAGAGCCGCACCAGGAGGTGTAATGTGGCTTCACAACTGTGTGGCCCTTTCTGGTTCTGTGTGTCTCTGTATACTTTTTTTTGAGACAGAGTCTCGCTCTGTCGCCCAGGCTGGAGTGCAGTGGCGCGATCTCGGTTCACTGCAGCCTCCACCTCCCGGGTTCAAGCGATTCTCCTGCCTCAGCCTCCCGAGTAGCTGGGACTACAGGCGGCCACCACCACGCCTGGCCAATTTTTGTATTTTTAGTAGAGACGGGGTTTCATCATGATGGCCAGGCTGATCTTGAACTCCTGACCGCAGGTGATCCGCCTGCCTCGGCCTCCCACAGTGCTGGGATTCCAGGCGTGAGCCCCCGTGCCCAGCCCTGTTTATTAACCCGTTATTAATTGAGTTATCTTTCTTTGATTTATGGGTCGTTCTTAATTTTCTGCTTTTTATTTTTCTGAATTACACATATTACATTTGATCAGAAGTTATTTCAGACATCTTTGAGGAAGGCTTCTTTGCTGACCTGTGAAATCCCTCAACCCCTCGGGGCCAGCTTCTCAGGCCGGACCCTCCGCCAGAGCCCCTGTGCCTAGGCCTGAAGCAGCCCCTGCCCCCCGTGCTGGCCGGTGCGGAGCTGGCTGTGTCCGCAGGTGTGAGGTGCTGCAGCCGCGGCCCTGGGCGAGCGCTGTCTGCAAAGGGCCCTGGCCGTGTCTCATGCCCGTGCGCTGTCCCTGAAGTCCCGTCTCCGTCTACGCCAAGCTCATGGGGCTGTCTTCTGGAATTTTACAGGTTGAGAACTTGTTGCTTAGTAATCAAGGGACCATTAAGCTGTGTGACTTTGGCAGTGCCACGACCATCTCACACTACCCCGACTACAGCTGGAGCGCCCAGAGGCGAGCCCTGGTGGAGGAAGAGGTGAGCTGAGCGCGGCCTGTGCTGGGGGAAGCTGGCCCTTCCCGCGTTCCGCGCCCTGAGTGCTGAGTGCTGTTTCCCGCCGGGGTGCTTTGAGTGGGGACGTGCAGCCGTCCTGGAGCCAGAACCTGAGCAGCATCACCCAGGCCGGCCTCCATGGCCGGGTCAGCGGCCGCGCCCTCGAGATGTGGAATGTGGCACTTCCCCTCCATCGTCCTCCCAGTCCCACCCCTGAGTATTGTAGGGCTGTTTTTTTCTTGGATTTTTGTTCACGGTAAGATGTGCGTAACAGCACTTTATCATTGTGGCCACTGTAAGTGGGCGGCTCGGCGGCAGAAACACCTGCAGAGTTGTTCCAGCATCCATCCCCAGAACTCTGTTACCCTTTAAAACACAAAACGCCTAATTTAAAAAAAAATCACTTAGAAATATATGTGCATGGGAGACTGGACGGCTCCGTCCCCGAGACCTCTGCAGGGGAGTGAGTGGCGCGTCCTCTGAGTGTGAGCAGCTGGCATCCTGTGGCAGTCTGGGTGGGTCCACGTGCCCCTGAGGGAGACTCAGACCGAAAAGAGATGGGAACCGGCAGAGCCGCCCTCAGCATTGGTGGCTGGGAAGGGGTTTCCTGGGATGGGCAGAGGGCAGGGACCGCAGGGGCACAGGCTCTGGGACCAGGATGCTGGTGGGGCCCCTGGGGCATCCATTCCAAAGGCTCCCCAAGCTGCTCATTTGCAGTTTCTGCATTTTCCTACAGCTAGCTTACACTGCATAAAAAGTGTATGTAATGTGTACAAACAACACAGAACAGAAAATAGGAATGGTGGGGGCAGGGAGCATCTGAGCATGGCAGCCAGGCAGCCCCCCAGGCCCTCCGAGCTCACGTGCCATGCACAGTACACGTGGGTGCTCACGCCCCACACGGCACACACCCGTCTCCATGGCAGAGCCACTGGCACCTGCAGCTCTAGCACGTCCATGAGGCCACGGTTCCTCCTCAGTGAGGGCCTGGCCGGCATCTGCACAGCCCACAGTCTCAGGGCCATCTTCCCTGGCACCGAGGAAGCAGACCCTGCAAGGCCCAGGGCTTGCTATAGCCCTTCCCTCCGCACTTGCGGTTGAGACCCAGGATGGGTTGTTGAGGGCTCCCCGTAGAAGTGCTGGGGTGCATTTCCTCCTCCGGAGTGGTTCTGTCAACTCACTTGAAATGCGTTTGGGCTTATCTGCCTATTTGTATGAACAGACTTTTTTTTTTACTTTTTAATTTTTTTTGAGATGGAGTCTCGCTCTGTCGCCAAGCTGGAGTGCAGTGGCGTGATCTCGGCTCACTGCAACCTCCGTCTCCCGGGTTCAAGTGATTCCCCTGCCTCTGCCTCCGGAGTAGCTGGGACTACAGGCACCCGCCACCACGCCTGGCTAATTTTTTGTATTTTTAGTAGAGATGGGGTTTCACCGTGTTGGCCATGGCTGGTCTCAAACTCCTGACCTCGCGATCCGCCCGCCTCGGCCTCCCAAAGTGCTGGAGTTACAGGCGTGAGCCACTGTGCCCGGCCTGAACAGACTTTATTTTTTAGAGCAGTTGAAGGCAACAAAAAGTGGAGCTGAAAACACAGGGTGCCTTCTCACAGCCCCTCCTTCCTCTGAGCCCCTCACATCCTTGGCTCTCCTCCCAAGCGCCTTTTTCCAGGGATGGGCAGATAGATGCCGTCTCCTGCCACGCGTAGCCTGCTCTCGCCCTGTGTCTTGGAACTGTAGGAGTTATTTGCGCTTTCTGGACTCGGGCCTTCTTGCTCTTGTGTCTTGCATTTGTAGCTGACTGTTCGGCCTCAGGGAGGTCATTCCTGAAAAGCAGGTCTTCCAGTGGAGGGCGCTTTATCCTGCTTTCCATCAGCTCTCATTTTCCTGTTCCCTTTAAGAAACTGTGGCCTGCCCAAGGCCATGGGCTGTCCTGCTGTATAACTGCAGAGCCCACTTGCCCACTGCTCTCCTGCGAATCTGCAGCTGAGGGTGGAGTTTGTGTGTCTGCCGTGCATGGAGATTCACTCTCTCCTCACAGCTCTGCGGCCCCAGCCTCTGACTCTCACAAGTGCCTCCGTACGTTTGTGAGGCTCTCCCTTGTTAACCTTGAACCAGTCGGGTGAACTTGGTGGGCAGCTTCCTCCTCCCACAGCCTTTCGCGTACCCTGGGGCTCTGGGCGTCACAGAAGCTGCTCTGGGTGCAGCCACTCTGGAGCGGGGCCCTTGTGCCAGGTGAGACACCCTTCTCAGCAAGCGGATTCGGCGCGCAACAGGTCAGTGCATTGGTGTCGACGTGCCGTGAAGCACGGGAGGCCGTAGGAGATTGCAGGAGGTGAATGACTCAGTCCTTGTCGTAAGGAGCGCGCCGAGGCTGAAGATGACGGAGGAGCTGGTACATGGGGTCGACTGGCCTGCGGTCATCCCGGGGCACAGTGTGCGGGGCAGGCTGCTCCTCAGTCTGCTGTGCATTTGGAAAGCTGCACGAAAGTGATGCAACAGAAAAAATACTGTTTGTGGGGTGCAACTTTTCCTTTGAAATGTTTATGTTTTTTCAGATCACGAGGAATACGACACCAATGTATAGAACGCCAGAAATCATAGACTTGTATTCCAACTTCCCGATCGGCGAGAAGCAGGATATCTGGGTGAGGTCCGGCGCCTCTCAGTGGCAGTGCCTGACTCTGTGCGCCCTACTCAACCCCAGGCAGCATGGGCCGGGCACCTGCCACTCCGAACCGGCCTGCCTCCTCAGCCCCCTCTTCTCCACTCCCCTTTTCTTTTTCCTTTCCTTAAGGATCACCATGACTACTACTATTTTTGTTTTTGGAGACAGGGTCTTCCTCTGTCGCCCAGGCTGGAGTGCAGTGGTGCGACCTCTGCTCAGGCTCACTGCAACCTCCGGCCCCTGGGCTCAAGGGATCCTCCCACCTCAGCCTCCTGAGTAGCTGGGACCACAGGTGCACACCATGCCCGGCTATTATTTCGTATTTTTGGTAGAAGGTGTGGTCTCACCATGTTGCCCAGGCTGGTCTCGAACTCCTGAGCTCAAGCAGTCCACCTGCCTCAGCCTCCCAAAGTGCTGGGATTACAGGCGTGAGCCATCGCGACCGGCCCAACCTTGACTTCTTCTAATGGGGATGAATCGAGTAGCAGTCGGGGGCGTCCTGTGCAGCTGGGTCGGCCCAGAGCCTGCGTGTCTGGGTCCGCCTGAGGCTTCCCTCAGCCCCGTTTGTGCGTCTGGTCCTGAGTGCCTTGACCCAGGAGCATCCCTGCCACACTCCAGCCTTGGTGTGCTCAGCTCCCCTGCTCAGAGCCAGGCCAGAGTGAGGGCTGAGCCTGAAGGCTGTGGTGTCTCCTGCGTGTCTCCTGTGGTGTCTCCTCCCTCTTCCCTGCACCTCTCCAAGGCCATGTCCCTGTTGACTGAGGGTGACCGTGTGTGGAAGGCGTCCTGCTATGTGGTTCCTTTGACATCCCCTCACCCTGTCATTCAGCCGCCAGATGCGGCAGTTGGCCCTCCATAGTGTATCTGCCTAAGGACTGGAACAGCCATGCCATCCGCCGCAGCACATGGGCTGCACACAGACAGCCCGTGGGGCCGCAGGCTGAGACAGCCCATGGGGCCGCAGACTGAGTCCCTGTGTCCCTTGAGGAGTGTGGAAGGATGGGGCCGTGTACGTGGTCCTTGCCTGTGTTCTCAGCCCGCCCCAGTGACTGGCCATCTGCACATCCCACACGAGGACACTCCTGGCCGGCTCTTGCCCAGCCTGGGGTCCCGGTGTGAGCTCATATTCTTGACTGGATAAGATCCTGATGCCGAAGTCATCCCCAATCCCTCCTCTGGGCTCACATAACTGGGTGACTGATGAGAAGTCACTGATTATTCGAGGCCAGTTCTGGGAAAATCCTGAGCGGACTGAGGAGGCTGCTTCCTGCAGCTTCTGCCCTGTGCCCTACACTCTGTGTGGGGTCAGGTCTGAAAGGTGGGGCTCTGCTGTTGCCAAGGACAGGACAGGCACCTGCCCCTTGCGTAGCACACAGCAGGGTCTGGGCTGGTCCCACCAGCCCATAGATCCTCAGGGAGTGTGGGAACCCCTGAATTTTGAAAGGAACCTTTTTTGTTGGTTTGTTTGTTTGAGACAGAGTTTCGTTCTGTTGCTAGGCTGGAGTGCAGTGGCACGATCTTGGCTCACTGCAACCTCCGCCTCCCGGGTTCAAACGATTCTCTGCCTTAGCCTCCTGAGTAGCTGGGACTACAGGCACCCACCACCACGGCTGGCTAATTTTGTATTTTTAGTAAAGACAGGATTTCACCATGTTGGCCAGGCTGGTCTTTAACTCCTGACCTTGTCATCCACCCGCCTCGGCCTCCCAAAGTGCTGAGATTACAGGCGTGAGCCACTGCGCCCGGCCTGAACGGAACCTTTTAATCTTGAGAACCTGGAGTCCGTTTAACACTGCCACCTGGACAGTTCTTTGTGCTGAATAAAGGTGGAGCATTCAGGCCTCCCCGTGCCGTGGGAAGCGCTGCCAGCTCCACACAGTCAAGTGATGTTTGTGTCACCATGGACTATACTCCCAGGATCCCAAGGAAGGGGCCACCCTCAGCCAGTGTCCATGTCTGCGGTGCTCCTCCCACACCCTTGTCCCCGTGGGCCCGGGCGTCACTCCTGCTCTCCTCGCAGACCCAGGCATCACCCGGCACTCCCCACAGCCCCGACGTCACCCCTGCGTTCCCTGCCGGCCCCAGTGTCACCCCTGCAACTCCCCGAGTTCCCAGGCATCACCCCTGCACTCCCCATGGGCCCAGGCGTCACCCCTGCACTCCCTGCGCTGCGCTCCCTATGGCCCCAACGTCACCCCTGCTCTCCCCATGGCCCCAACGTCACCCCTGCACTCCCTGCAGGCCCAGGTGTCACCCCTGCGCTCCCCATGGCCCCAACGTCACCCCTGCACTCCCTGCAGGCCCAGGTGTCACCCCTGCGCTCCCTATGGCCCCAACGTCACCCTTGCATTCCCTGCGGGCCCAGGCATCACCCCTGCTCTCCCCACAGCCCCAGTGTCACCCCTGCACTCCCCGCAGGCCCAGGTGTCACCGCTGCACTCCCCATGGGCGTGGGCGTCACCCCTGCACTCCCCTCAGGCCGGGGCGTCACCCCTGCACTCCCCGCAGGCCCAGGTGTCACCCCTGCACTCCCCATGGGCGTGGGCGTCACCCCTGCACTCCCCTCAGGCCGGGGCGTCACCCGTGCTCTCCCCGCAGGCCCTGGGCTGCATCTTGTACCTGCTGTGCTTCCGGCAGCACCCTTTTGAGGATGGAGCGAAACTTCGAATAGTCAATGGGAAGTACTCGATTCCCCCGCACGACACGCAGTACACGGTCTTCCACAGCCTCATCCGTAAGTCCCGCTGGGGTGCGTGCTTGGGGCAGGACCCTGGAGCACAGGCCCCGCGTGGTTCTGGAGACCCCGCGCAGCCTGGGGCACTGCTCCCCCGGCCCCACCCCCGCCCGTCACCGTGGTTTTGACAGTGTCCCTGCGGGTTGTTTCCCCACAGCTCCCCTGCCGCCCGCCCCGCTGGTGAAATTGCGGTGCTCTGAGTGGTGGTTTTTGATCATTTTGTTTGGTTTTTGTTCTTCCCTTTGCCGCTCCCTCCTTGCTTCTGACGTCACTGATGTGTGTAGAGGGAGTGGCCTCTGGTGGTCTGTGACCTCTGCCAGGGCAGGGGGTGCCGACCCGTCTGGGGAACCGTGGGGCCGAGCGCGCTGTGCTTCTGCCGCAGGCGCCATGCTGCAGGTGAACCCGGAGGAGCGGCTGTCCATCGCCGAGGTGGTGCACCAGCTGCAGGAGATCGCGGCCGCCCGCAACGTGAACCCCAAGTCTCCCATCACAGAGGTGAGGGAGGTAAATGTGAGCCCCAAATCCCCTCACAGGGGAGGGAGGCACACGTGAGCCCCAAATCCCCCGCAGAGGGGAGGGAGGCACACGTGAACCCGAAGTCTCCTATCACAGAGGGGAGGGTGGCACACGTGAGCCCCCAATCCCCCGCATAGGTGAGGGAGGCACACGTGAACCCGAAGTCTCCTATCACAGAGGGGAGGGTGGCACACGTGAGTCCCAAATCCCCCGACAGGGGAGGGAGGCACACGTGAGCCCCCAATCCCCCGCAGAGGTGAGGGAGGCAAATGTGAGCCCCCAATCCCCCGCAGAGGTGAGGGAGGCAAATGTGAGCCCCAAATCCCCCCACAGGGGAGGGAGGCACACGTGAGTCCCAAATCCCCCGACAGGGGAGGGAGGCACACGTGAACCCGAAGTCTCCTATCACAGAGGGGAGGGTGGCACGTGGCTGTGCTGCTTCGTCCAGACCCTGCATCCTGGGGGTCCCTGCCCTCCTCAGTGTGGAGCCACAGGCTCTTGAGGGCCCTCCTGCATGGGCAGGGACACCACCTCAGTACAGGGCCGAGACCCCGCGGGCACGCTGGGGCCATTGCCAAGGTCCTCACACTCTGCACACGCTCTTCTGGCTTCCTTGAGTTCTGTGGGCGCCTTTCTGTATTCTTCCCCTGACTGGGTGGCATGAATTGCTCCTGCGTCTGTTTCTCGGGTTTAGTGTCTAGGCCAGCTCAGCTGGCCCTCAGCTTTGGGCGTCCTGGAGTGGCGTGAGTTGCTCCTGCGTCTGTCTCTGGCCCTCAGCTCTGGGCGTCCTGAAGTTTTGTTGAGTTGCTCCTGCGTCTGTCTCTGGCCCTCAGCTCTGGGCGTCCTGGAGTGGCGTGAGCTGCTCCTGCATCTATGTTTCTGGCCCTCAGCTCAGCTCTGGGCATCCTGGTTGCAATGGTGTCAAGGCTGTGCCCGGCCAGGGACCGCTCCTGGTACCGGTGGCTGCCGGCAGCATCAGGGCCTGGGGGCTGGGAGACTGAGGCCCACGGGGCCGCGTGCTTTGTGGAAGTGTGAGGCCTGGGAGGCAGCAGCAGTGTTAGCTGGAAGATGCTTTCATGAAAGTCTTTTTTGACCCAGCCGTGGACAGGTGTACCATCTCCATCGCCAGATCCTCAAGGCAGAGCAGACACGCGGCCCGGCCCCCACTCACGGGGAGCAGGCAGGCCCCTGGGCATCCCAGCTCAGGGCCCAGTCAGGACACGCAGGGACCCTCGGCGGCCCTCGCAGGGGTCCGCGTCCAGGGACCCAGCACTGTTGGCTCCTGCTTTTTGTCCCCTTTTCAGCCCTTGGGTCGTTTCCACTCCCTGGTAGCTGGAAGCCAGAACCTCCAAGGCCACTGCAGTGGAGCTGACCTAGGCGGTGGGTGTGGAGCATGGGGAGGGAAGGTCAGAGCTGCTGCCCGGAGTCCCTGGCTGAGGACAGGACCCTGTGGGAGGAGGAGGGTTTGGGCTGAGTGGAGGGTTTGCAGTTCCTTTGGGGCCACTTGGGTATGGAGACCTGGGAGCAGGGGAGTGCTGGGAAGCCCCGTGCAGACGGGGAGGCTGTGGTCCCCTCCCTGGCGGCCACTGTGGTGGGCGCACTGGCGGAGGGAGCCCTGATGCCGGGTGTGGGAAGCATTTTGAGGTGTGGGGCGCTCTGAGGCGGGAGAGTTGATGTCACTGGTGGCCTCTCAGCAAGCTTCCCTGGGGGTGTCAGAGAGCGGCGGGAAGGGATCACTCTCGGGGGTCCCGCTCTTCAGCAGCCTGGGCCTCGCATCCCCTCGCTCGATGGCTCTTTCCAGAAAACGCCTGCCCACTCCCCCGGAGGTCACAGAGGACAGTGGCTCACAGGGAGGTGTGGCCTCTTGCACCCTCGAGTGCGCTGGAGGGATTCCTGAGGGGGCGGGAGGAGGTGCCGCTGGGCAGATGGGCAGACTCCGGCCGCTAGTGATGGGGCGGGGCCCTCAGTGCTTCTGATCTGAGTGCTTCTAGGCCGGGACCCCACGGGGACAAACGTTAGACCCCTGCTTAGGCCAGCCGACTACCCCAGAAAACACAGTCCATGATGGAGCTGAGCTCACAGTGAGATAAAATACTGCCCCCAAGAGGTAGTGAGCCTCATGGGGTGGCCCCCAGAACCCAGGACCTGAAGCGATGGAACGTTTGGGCATGGGAGGTGGAGGCTGCAGTGAGCCGAGATCATGCCACTGCACTCCAACCTGGGTGACAGAGTGAGACTCCGTTTCAAAAAAAAAAAAGCTGGGTGCGGTGGCTCACCCCTGTAATCCTAGCACTTTGGGAAGCCGAGACAGGCGGATTGCCTGAGCTAAGGAGTTCGAGACCGGCCTGGGCAACATGGTGGAACCCCATCTCTACTAAAATACAAAACAAATTAACCGGGCGTGGTTGTGCACGCCTGTAGTCCCAGCTACTCGGGAGGCTGAGGCAGGAGAATTGCTTGAACTCACGAAGTGGAGGTTGCAGTGAGCCGAGATAGCGCCCACAGCTCTCCAGCCTGGGTCACAGAGCGAGACTCCGTCTCTAACAAAAAAAAAAAAGATGGTTGAACAGACTGGGAAGAGAGAGAAAAGGAAAAGGAACAGAATCTGCAGCCCAAGAGTCTGAAAAGCTGGGCTAGAGCGCTGAGCACCCAAGGCAGGCTGCGGGGTGAGGGGATGAGGGCTGCATGCGTGGTTTTGTTTGTTGAGTTCCAGCTGATGCTTTAGCCTGTGGGAAGTTCCTCCCTTGCACTGTGTCGTAGATCGGGGAGCAGAAGGATGAGCTCTGAGGGCACTCGTGCCATGCCTCTCCCCCACGTGGGAGTTCAGAGAACTGACCTCTGCACTTTCATCGTCACAGCTTCTGGAGCAGAATGGAGGCTATGGGAGCACCGTGCTGTCCCGAGGGCCACCCCCTCTTGTGGGCCCCGCTGGCAGTGGCTACAGTGGAGGTGAGTGTCCTGTCCTGCGCCCACCACCCGTCCCTCGCTCCTGCTGTGCCCCAGGCACCCACGGCACATCGGGGTGGAGTCTGGGGTCCTTCTCTCCCGGGCCTCTCCTCCCACCAGAGACAACTGCGAGGTCGGGGTCCCTCAGCGCGCCCTCGGGTTCGGCGGTTCACTGGGGCTCACAGGGCTCAGCAGAGCTGGTGTCTTGGTGCAGTTCAGGAGGGGGACGGGATTCGGACTAAAGCCAGCCAAGGGAAGAGACTCCAGGGCAGAGCCCAGGAGACCGGGCCCAGGCGACCAGGCGGCCTCGCTCAGGAGTTCTGTGGGAGGCAGCCTGCACCATGGCCAAGACCCCAGCATAGATCACGTTGTAGTGTCTGGCACAGCCCAAGGCCCCAAGGAAACAGACACCCCTTTTGGGGATGGAGGGGGCGTCCCCGGTTCCTTCCCAGGCGCTGGGGATGAAGGGCCAGGCCTGCTGTGGGCAAGGTGAACCCTTCACTGCAGCAGCGACCCTGAGGCCGGGGTGCAGGAGCAGGCATTGGATGGCGGAGGGCGGTGGGGAGACAGTTCTGCCACTAATGTGAGGGGGTCCCTTCTGCCACGTGAGGAGTGGGCACCTGTGATGGGCCTGGGTGTCCCTGGAGGGCCCTCAGCTGGTGAGGAGGGGAGAGGGCCCTGGAGACAGATGCTGCATGCTCTTGGGACTCTGTGCTGCGAGCACTCCGGAAGGTTTTGGGCCATTGAGGACGTGGCCCTGACAGGCAGCGGCTGGTTATGCAGCTCTGCATGGCCCTGACCCCTCCCGACCTTGCCCCCCATCCCCACTGGGGTGTGGGAGGTTTCGCCTGGGTCCTTCAGCTCTGCTTCCTAGGGAGGAGCTCAGCTCCATGTCTGGGGCACCCCGGTCCATGCAGTGTGGGTCCCGCACATGCAGGTGTGGTGGCCGGCTATGTCTCTGCTGGCTGGAGGAAGGGTGAGTCCTCGAGCTGCTGGGTTCTGCAGTGCCCCGTCTGCTCGGTGCTGCCAGGGGCCACCACTCTGCCTTCACGTCCAGGGTCATGGGGGCCTGAAGCTGTGGCCATGAGGCCGGCCTATCCCCGCAGACAGAGTCCCAGCCCCAGCTGTGCTGAGGCGGCCGCATAGCCCTTCCGCACCCAGATTGGCCACTTTCTGGGTCTCTGGAAAGGCTGAGGACAGGGTCAGACCTGCCAGTGCTGAGGCCTGGCTTGCTGCTGGGTACGTGTGGGTTGGGGGCCTGGCCATAGCACCTGCTCCCTGCTCTCGCTGCCTGGGCCCAGCCAGCAACCCACGCCTGGGGAGGTGGGACCGAGCACCTGTGGGCTGCTGAGACTGTGTCTCCCTGCAGGCCTGGCCCTGGCGGAGTACGACCAGCCCTACGGCGGCTTCCTGGACATTCTGCGGGGTGGGACGGAGCGGCTCTTCACCAACCTCAAGGACACCTCCTCCAAGGTCATACAGTCCGTCGCTAAGTGAGTGTGAGGCCCCAGAGCCCTGGACCTGCCGTGTGCTCGTTCCAGGCTGCAGCCCCGGCGCTTGCTCCCTGGCCGCGGTGGAACAGCTGGTCATCAGGCCCCACAGGCGCCCCTGAGGCAGTGGGACAGTGTCACTCGCTTCTCCCAGGGAGTCGGAATGAGCCCAGCACCCCACAGAGCCGGGCAGATCCCTTTCCATTGACCGCCTGGGGGGCAAGGCCCTGCTGGGGAGACGCCTGTGCCCGCCCCTCCCTTGCTGTGATGACGCCCTCACTCTGGGGCCTTCCTGGGTTGTTCCCGGGACTCTCTGGTGTAAACTGGGTGAAACAGCTGTGGTGGCGCCTCACTGAGCCAGTCCACTGAGTTAAAGCCCTAGTTACTCAGACTTAGGCCAGGTGGGTCCCAGCCTGTGGTGGGAGAAAGTCTTCCTCTGGGTGGGCTGTCCAAGGGCGCGTCTGTGCGGGAGTGTCCCCTGACATCGGCCCACAGGCCCGGCAGCCTCTGCTCACAGAGCACTGAGAATGTTCCAGAGTACGGCCCCACTGCATTGCGGGGTCCACGTGCTGGCTCTTCTGGAGGAGCTGGGTGCCCGGGAGCATGCTGCACTGCTCATCTGGCCCGGTGGTCGCACCAGCTCAAGGGCGTCGTGAGTGTGTGTGAGCCGCGTGCACGTGTACGCATGTGCGCGAGTGCCTGTGACTGTGAGCGTGTGAGCTGCGTGCACGTGTACACATGTGCACGAGTGCCTGTGAGTGCGTGAGCCGTGTGCACGTGTACGCATGTGCGCAAGTGCCTGTGAGTGCGTGTGAGCCGCGTGCACATGTATGCATGTGCGTGAGCCGCCTGCACGTGTATGCACGTGCGAGAGTGCCTGTGAGCCGCCTGCACGTGTACGCATGTGCGCGAGTGCCTGTGAGCCGCCTGCACGTGTACGCATGTGCGCGAGTGCCTGTGTGTGTGAGCTGCGTGCATGTGTAAGCATGTGTAGGAGTGCTGTGTGAGGGCCTGTGTGTGTGAGCTGTGTGCCTCTGTGTGTGCTGCATGTTTGGGTGTGTGAGCTGTGTGCCTTGTCCCTGTGCAGCCTTTTGTGGAGAGAAACTTGTTCTTAATGGGCTGTCCCCAGAGCAGGGCGTGAGCTCGCTCACACCTCTGGACGCCTCCTCTGTGACGTCTCCTGCCTGAGTTGTGACCGATGGAAGATCAGAGGCAGCTCTGTCTGGTCCCAGCGCACTGCCCACTGGGCCCAGGAGTGTGGCTCCTGCAGGGTCCTGACGGGTGGCACTGCGTGTGGAGTGCCAGCGGGGCCAACCATGGACCCATGGGGATGAGCGATTCTCCAGCATCATCTTGGTGATAGTGATGTTGGGATCAGAGTGGAAACGGACAGAGAGGATGTGGCAGCAAAGCCATATGTGAAAGTCAGCAGGAACAGTCACTTTCAGTGTCACTAGAAAGGAATGGATGTCGGGCCCCAAAGCACCCCAGACTGGCTGGTTCCCCAGAAGACTCATGGTCTCCTTGGCCACAGTGCATTGTGGGGACAGGCAGAGCGGAGTCAGCAGAGGGAGGAAGCATGTGGGGTGTCCAGGGCGCCGGGCACAGCTCCAGGGTCCTCCCTGGGGGACTCCAGGCCACGCTCCCTCCCCAGCAGCTGTAGGGATGGTGGGAGCTGCTGTCTGCCAGAAGCCTAAGGCTGCAGGGGCTGGTCCTCGACATGGCTCTGCTGGGACCCGTGGGTTCCAGGCCCTAGGAGGACGCAGTTTGGCTTGAGCGGGTGCTGCTTTCACGACGCTCAGGCACGGCCAGCTGCTGCTTGTTAGGGGATGGTGGGAACTCTCCCCACACCCCCAGCTGCTAGCTGAGGGCAGCCCTGCTGTTTTGATCTGCCCTCTGTTCACACCACGTGCTTGAGGCAGAGGACCTGCATAAACTCGTGTTTGTAAAGTTGACTTGGAAGCCACCGTGAGTTCTGGCTGGGCCTGGAGGCTCAAAAGATGGCCGGGGGCGGTGGCTCATGTAATCCCAGCACTTTGGGAGGCCGAGGAGGGAGGATCACTTGAAGATAGGAGTTTGAGGCCAGCCTGGACGACATAGCAAGACCCTGTCTCTACAAAAATAAAAAAACTAGCTGGGCAAGGTGGCGTGCCGCTGTGGTCCCAGCGACACTGGGGGCTGAGGTGGGAGGATGGCTTGAGCCCAGGAGGTTGAGGCTGCAGTGAGCTGTGATTGTGCCAGTGCACTCCAGCCTGGAGTGAGCAAGACCCTGCCTCAATTTGAAAAAAAAGGACAGTGAGTTAATTTGTGTTTCTGGCTCTCCTCAAGGAGAAGCCCGGGAGTCAGGACCTGGGTGGCCGCGAGCCCCTGGCTGCCCTGGTGCTTGGTGTTCTCTGGAACCTGGGGCGTCAGGGCCTGAGCCCTGTGTCTGGGCCCTGGTTTCTCCCCTGTCAGTGTCCAGGGGAGCCCTAACACACACACCCCCTGGTACACGTGCCTGAGGCCAACACAGCCAGGTGCACGGGGCCCCCGCAGGGCTGCTGGGGTGGGTGAGATGTGCGTGGATCCTGTGGCACTCAATGCCCACCTTTGCTTAAGGCGTGTCAGCTCGCTCTGGTTGCCGCTGCCCCCCGTGGTACAGGATCTGTGCGGATTTCACCATGTTGGCCAGGCTGCTCTCGAACTCCTGACAGGTGATCTCCCCGCCTCGGCCTCCCGAAGTGTTGGGATTACAGGCGTGAGCCACCGCACCTGGCCCTTATTTTTGTTTTTCTGCTGGTGATTAGATTATGGGTCCAGTAGCCATGCTTCATGTGGCCTGTTTGTCTCTTGCCCAGTGTCCTGTGCTGCAAAAGTGGCCGAGCGTCAGGCTCACCGTGCCTCCCGGTCCTCCCTTGTTGCTTTGGAAGACCCACATCCTAAGCCAGCACCTGCTTTGTGGGTTTAGACAGCTTTTAAAATGTTTGAATGCACGGAAGACCCACGTCCTAAGTCAGCACCTGCTCTGTGGGTTTGGACAGTTTTTAAAACATTTGAATGCACAGTCACTTTCAGGTAATGGTTTGGTCGTGTGTATTTGGGTCATTCATCTCTCTGGACCTTTTTCCAAGCTTTCCTCTGATGAGGACGGCCCCTCTGCGGTGTGCCTAGCTGAGGTTGCTCCTAGCCCAGCCTTTCCGGTCTCCGTAGCTTCCGGCCAGCTCTGCCCTGGGAGGGAGGCTCCCTTCTGCTCCTTCCCTCACAGGATTGGCTTGGCTGTTCTTGCACAGCTGCTTCTTCCAGTGAATTGTGGGATAAACCTGTCAGGGTCCTTGCAGAGTTATTGAGGGTTTTGATCTCTGTGTTACCGGTTCCGTGGACCTAGTGTGGGGGACAGCTGGTCTGTAGAGAGTTGCCTGTGGCCACAGCAGAGGGCTTCAAAGCACTCAGGGTAGGGGCCCTCTCTGCCTCCAGTGGCGTCTGTTGGCCTCCCACTGCTGCAACCACCAGGCCTGGGCAGCGCCTAGAGCCTGGCATGACCCGTGACCATCGTCCAAGTGACCCCTGCTCTCCGGCCTTCACCTTCCACCGGTGTTGCCGTCCCTCCCTGGAGAGCGCAGGGGAAGGGGCAGTTAGACAGCGGGCGTCTCTCCTGTCTCGTCCACACCTCCACCACCTGCAGGCTGTCATTTCCATCCTCTTCTGATGTAGGGGTCAGCTCCACGGCCCACATACACCCGGGAACCTGCCCGCATGCCTGTGCACACGCATGTTCCTCATGGGATGCAGCCTCCACAGTGAGAGCCCCATGGCTTCTCCAGGCCTCGAGCTCTGGCTTCAGCCCTGTGACTTAACTGTGGAGTGTTTCTTGTCATAATCAAGTTTTCTTCTTTTTAATTCCAGTTACGCAAAGGGTGACCTGGACATATCTTACATCACGTCCAGAATTGCAGGTACGTGTGCACGTGAGGCTGTGGGACGCGCCCTGTGTGCCCAGTGAGTCCCTGCTGTGTGTCAGGGCACAGATACCTCTGCTCCAGCCTCCTCTGCAGCCACAGACTCACAGGGACGGCCTGTGCCCAGCGCCTCCAGGCGCAGCAGTGGACAGGGTCAGCCCCAGCCTGGTGCCTCCTATGGCTCCCTGAGGTCATGCTAGGAACAACACAAGGCCGTGTCCATGGAAAACCAGGGCCTCTGTGCACCAGGCATCCCAGTCACTCATCCCGGCGCCTGGAGACCGGGCATGTGTCAGAAAGCTGTCTCAGGAAGTCCCAGCCACCGGCTGGCGGGCATGTGGCTGGGTCCGTGCTGCTGGGTCCACCCAGGCCGGGAGTCTGCAGAGGGTGAGGGGGCCAGCTGTGTGGGCAGTGGCTGGTGGAGCTGCTGGAGGCTGTGCTTGCCCGGGAGCGTGAGGAGCAGCGAGGCCTCAGCGGCAGCCTGGCCACAAGGTACACATCTCCCGGGGACGGCGGCTGACGCAGGCCTGCTTGTTTCAGTGATGTCGTTCCCGGCAGAAGGTGTGGAGTCAGCGCTGAAAAACAACATCGAAGACGTGCGGTTGTTCCTGGACTCCAAGCACCCGGGGCACTATGCCGTCTACAACCTGTCCCCCAGGACCTACCGGCCTTCCAGGTTCCACAACCGGGTGTGTGGCCACAGGCTTTGTCTTGGTGCCACTGTGGCAGCTTCCTCCTGCTCCAGTGCAGGGGCGTAGCTGAGGGCTTTGGCCAGGGTGCGGCCGTGATGGGGGCAGCCGGTGGTCTCCTGAGGGGCTGCAGAATGTGGAGCAGGAGGAAGCGAGGTGGGGTCTCTGTTGCTCTGAGGACGCCGCTTGACGGGAACCCTGGAGGCCCCAGCTCTTCACTGCTTCCCGCCTGCCAGAGGGTGCTCGAGGCCGCAACATTCCTTCCAGATATGACCCCTGTCAGTATGCAGGGGGACCCAAAGCCAGGAACAGCTGACCGAGCTCCGTCTGCAAGGCCAGTGGCAGCCCTGGTGCTCAGGTGCCGCAGAGGCGCTCGTGCAGATGGACGCCTGTTTATGACGCCAGCTGGCGGAGGCCCCTGCACTGCAGGCAGGCTGTCCCTCCGATCCGACCAAGGCTGGGGCGGGGCTCCTCTGCCGTCCGTGCCACCGTGCCCTGTCCCCACAGGTCTCCGAGTGTGGCTGGGCAGCGCGGCGGGCCCCGCACCTGCACACCCTGTACAACATCTGCAGGAACATGCATGCCTGGCTGCGGCAGGACCACAAGAACGTCTGCATCGTGCACTGCATGGTGAGCTCCAGGGCCATGCCCTGGCGCCGTCTTTTATCAAAGTTCATTATTTCATGCATAGTTCAACGGCATCCGAGCGCCAGTCATGAGCTGGGGCCTGTTCTTCACCCTGGGACACGGAAGAAAGTCCCTGTGCTTGGTGTCTTCGGGTGTGGAGGGGACAGATGCCAGATGGCCCTGCCCTGCCCTCCCCTCCCCATGTGGCCCTGCCTGGCCTTGACCTGCACGCCTGTGTGGAGGCCACTCTGCTGTGTGGGGAGCCCGCCTCCCCTCCTGCACATTGGCCACCTGAGTCACCTCCAGTTTCCCCATCTGCAGTGCGAAGCTTAGTGGTGCTTGAGCCTCCCAGGGTGTGGCAGCTGCCACTGTGGTTGATGGAGTTGAGGTTTCCATGAGGGGTCTCTCGCGGGGGTACTGGGCACCAGCAGAGCCTGTCAGAGCGGCCCCAGCCCTGCTCTTCGTTAGGGAACCTTCGGTCTCTGTTGGGCTCCATTCTCGCCTTGGCAGGCGTGTTATGTGGTTTTGTAAACATGTCCCAGCCTCAGAGAGAACAACCCTGCGTCCCTGTGGCCATGGGGCGGGTAGGATGGCCGAGGACCCCGCCAGCCCTTGTCCTGCGGGGGTGTGAGGCACGTGCGAGATGTGTCTGTCTGTCCTAGGACGGGAGAGCCGCGTCTGCTGTGGCTGTCTGCTCCTTCCTGTGCTTTTGCCGTCTCTTTAGCACCGCGGAGGCCGCCGTGTACATGTTCAGCATGAAGCGCTGCCCGCCAGGCATCTGGCCGTCCCACAAAAGGTACTGCGTGGCCCCCCGGGGACGGGACAGCTCTGTGGGCCTGTGTGGCACAGCCGCCATCGCTGCAGTGTCTCCTGGAGGGCCAGTCGGTGCCACTGCAGGCGCTGGTGGGAAAGGCAGGCCCAGCCTCGCTGAGCCACAGCTGAGCCCTGGGTTTATGCCCACCCAGGGAGGGTGGGCCCTCAGCCGCGGTGGTCCTGACGGCTGTGGGGCAGCACCTGCCTAGTTTCTGGGTGGACGCGAGGTTCCCTGGCAAATGCCACATGTAGCCTGGTGGGGCCCGTGCTCGCTGGGCTGGGCTGGGCAGGAGCGGCTCCTCTTGGGACCCCGCTCTGTCCCTCCTGCAGGAGTCCTCTGTGGTGGGCTCTGGTGGATAATGCATGTGAAAATGCCGTGTGGACCACCTGAGACAGGTGCTGTGTGGAGCACCTGACGCTGCTCAGACCCGAGTGAGGCTGCAGCATGTTTAGGGCCCTGCCAAGTGCAGGTTTCCGTGCCGGTCGCCTCAGCATGCAGCAGACTTTCCCTGGCCACGTGGAGGAGACTTTCTCAAATGGGAGTGCGGCCACAGCGTGTTTAGGGCTCTGTTTTTCGAGGCTGCAGGTGTCTATGCGAGGAGTCCTTCCCAGCATAAAGCCTCCCCTGGCCTTGGTCTCACTGAGGACCTGGTGAGGCTGGAGCAGCCTCCCAGCCTCTGAAAGAGCAGGCCATGACCTGGACCACAGACAGCCCAGGAGCAAAGGCCGGCCCCGTGGCCCCACCATGGCGGGAGGGAAGAGGAGGGACCCAAGCTTCGAGGGACTCCCCATTCTTCATCCTGTCTGGACGGAGCGCACAGCCTGTGGACAGGGCGAGCATCGGGAGGCCGATCCTGCTGCTGTGGATCCCCAGGGAGGGCCCCACCTCGTTTGCTCACAGCCTTACGGGGAGGAGATCGTGGCCGCCCCATCCAGCTGTGTCTTTTCTGTGACCCCAGCAAAGTCAGGAACCCCTCTACACATTGAGCTGAAAGCTGTTGGCACCCCCAGGCCAGGTGCGGTGGGGTCTGCTCAGCAGGGGGCATCTGAGAACCAGGGAGTCTCTTTCCCTGTGAAGTGTGGTTGGGCTTCCATGACCCCACCAAATCCCACAGCTCCTTCCTTGGAGGAGCAGAGAAATGTGCAGAGTGCCGCTCCCACCGGGCAGGTGACTGGACCAACGTCAAGTTCATGGCCTTTCCACATCTCTGACCCAGAATCTAAGGAGAGTCAGGTGCCTGTGGGAGGAGGTGTGTGTGTGCACTGTCTGGGGTGAACATAACTAGACCCCAGAAGAGAAGGAGGCCAGAAGGAGTACAACCGGTGGAGGCCAAGTGTCTCAGTGGGTGAGTGAAGCCTCCAGGGTTGCAGGACTGGAAGGGTCCTTGCCCTCTGGAAGGCACAGTCTCCATGGACACCCACAGGACAGATGGGAGAGTGAGGGCCGGGCAAGGGGACACAGCTACTATGAGGGAGGCTCAGACCTGGCCGAGACCCTTTTTTCTGCCTCCAGATGGAGGAGATGAAAGAGCTGCACCCTGTGACTCTTAGGGAAATTGAAGTAACTGACTGATGTGCTGAGGACGCTCATGCAGGGTGCGTGGTCCAGTGGATCACTTTCAGAGCCGTGGAAAGAGGACCCTTATGCAGGGTGCATGGATCCAGTGGACCACTCGTCACAGCCGTGGAAAGAGGACCCTCATGCAGGGTGTGTGGTCCAGTGGATCACTCGTCACAGCCGTGGAAAGAGGACCCTCATGCAGGGTGTGTGGTCCAGTGGATCACTCGTCAGAGCCGTGGAAAGAGGACCCTCATGCAGAAGGCAGGCAGGTGCATGGTCCAGTGGGCCACTCATCAGAGCCATGGAAACACCAGGAAATAAAGGGAAATCCCTGAAATGAGAACGCCTTCGACATCGCCGAGGCTGAGTCGGTGGCCTTTGGAGCCAGGGCAAGAGCTACTGAAACTGAATCACAGAGAGAAAGCGGGGGTGGGGGTAGAACAAGCACCCAAGAGCTGCCTCCACCTCAGGCAGGGCCACACACTCGTGGAGTCCAGAAAGGGAAGAGGGAAGCGGGAACAGTGAAGAAATCATGGCTGGGAATTTCCCAGAATGAGTAACAGATACCAGTCCCCAGGTTCAAGAAGCTCAGAGGTGACCAAGCAGGATGAAAGCAAGACAAACGCATAAAAACTCACTCAGGTGCGTCCCGGTCAGAGCTCCTGCAGACCGAGCAGAGGGGAAGTGTTGGAGGCGGCCAGGAGAAGATGCAGGCACAAAAAGAAAGATGTCAGCCACAAGGTTCTTGTCAGAAAGCCTGGAACAACCAGTAAGGGCTTTTCTTTGGGGCTGTAGTGAAGAAGCCAACAAGAAGTAAAACGAAGACATAAACCTTGCCAAGAGAAGGCAAAAAGAAGAAGAAAAAAACCGAGAACAGATCAAACAAATAGGAAACAGCCAGCAAGATGGTAGATTTTAATCCAGCCACATCAGTGTTCAGGCTGCACGTGAGTGGTTTTGTTTAAAAGACAGGCTTGTCACGTGGGACAGAAATGCACGGCTCAGCCATACACTGCAGGAGGTCCCCTTTCAACACGGAGGCAGAGGTGAGTTCAGAGCAGGATGGTGGGGGAAGAGCGTACTAGTCATTGCTACATGACCCGCCACAACACACTCGGGCTTAGAACCACACACATCCGTTCTCTCATGGTCTCCCTGGACCCTGAGGCTTAGCTGGGTCCTCTTCTCCTGTCAGGGTGTTGGCTGCACTGACTCTGAGAAAGCAGATTTCTCTTTCATTGCTGAATCTGCTTCCTTGGCCACTCGGGCTATTGGCAGGATTTATTTGTTGTGGCTGAAGGACCAGCTGTCCTGGCTCCGTGCTAACTGAGCTGGACCACAGTGGCCTGTGGCTGGGAAGATGGGGTCTGCACGTCACCACAGAAGTGACGTCACCTGCCTGCCTCGCACAAGCTCCAGGAGCGGGTCTGCTGCAGGGCATGGGTGCCACGAGGTGGGAGGCAGACACCGGGGGACGTGTGCACCACAGAGGCACCAGGGGAACGCCAGCCGTGGGAAAGCCAGAGCTATGCCACCAAGCTCAGAGAAAACAGATTCCATTCAACATCCGTAAGGCAAAAACTGATCAAATTGAAAGGAGAACTAGACAACTCAGTTGTGGGGTAGACCTCAACATTTTCCTCTCAGTACTCCGCAGAACAAGCAGACAGACCGCCAGCAGGGTGTAGAAGAACTGAACGTGCCAGCCCGTGAAGGCTGACACAGCTGTAGAGCATTCTAGGACGTTCCACCCAACAACAGAAAAACACACATGTCTTTCTAATCCATGTGGAATATGCAAGAAGAAAGATCAGATTTGGGGCTATAAAGACACTTCAACAAATTTTTAAAATTTGAAATCAGACAAACTATGCTCTCAGGCCACGGTGGAATAAAACTAGAAATCAGTACCAGAAGGATGTCTGGAAAACTCTCTAAATCTCCGCCGCCCAGGTTCAAGCAATTCTCCTGCCTTAGGCCTCCTGAGTAGCTGGGATTATAGGTGCACACCACCATGCCCGGATAATTTTTGTATTTTTATTAGAAATGGGGTTTCACCATGTTGCCCAGGCTGGTCTCAAACTCCTGACCTCAGGCAACCCACCTGCCTTGGCCTCCCAAAGTGCTAGGATTACAGGCGTGAGCCACCGTGCCCGGCCTCAAAATTAAGCAACTTCTAAATAACCCATGAGTATCAAACTGGGAGTATCATGAGAAATTTAAAAACATTAAGACGCTGTCTTAAAAATACATGTATGTATATACACACACACACACATAATTAACTAAATGAAAATTATAACATCAGATTTATTAGGAGCAACTCAAACGTTGCCACAAGGGAAATTTCTAGCATTAAAGACTCCTATTCGAAAGACACAATCAGCTGTATGGTCCCCTCAGGCCACACCACGTGGTGACGCGGCACGTCTACCCCCAGGTACATCGAGTACATGTGCGACATGGTGGCGGAGGAGCCCATCACACCCCACAGCAAGCCCATCCTGGTGAGGGCCGTGGTCATGACGCCCGTTCCGCTGTTCAGCAAGCAGAGGAGCGGCTGCAGGCCCTTCTGCGAGGTCTACGTGGGGGATGAGCGCGTGGCCAGCACCTCCCAGGAGTACGACAAGATGCGGTGAGTGCAGCTGTGGCCCCGTGCCGTGCTCCCTTATCCTCACCCCTCCGGAACACCATTGAAGAGGAACCTTGGCCTTGCCGGGGACAAGCGCTTGCTGAGGCGGACATGTTTGGAGCTGTAGTGTCTGTGGCGGGCAACTTGGGGTCCTGGTCAGCATCAGATCACACGATCTAAGTGTCTGGGAGACTTCAGAATTTCTGTGGGGCTCTTTGTGGGCGTCATTCTTTATTGGGTATTACACGTTTTACCTAAGCGACAATTTCTCATTCTGTTTTTTGTTGTTTTTGTTTGGTTGGTTTTGGGGGTCTTTCTGTTTAATTTTTCTCTCGTCATTCTGTCCTTAGGGATTTTAAGATTGAGGATGGTAAAGCCGTCATTCCCCTGGGCGTCACAGTGCAAGGAGATGTGCTCATCGTCATCTATCACGCCCGGTCCACCCTGGGCGGCCGGCTGCAGGCCAAGGTGAGAGAGCCTGTGGCTTGCCCGGTGCTCCCCACTCACCCCCAGGCTCTTGGGAGGGCTGGGGGCCACTGTGCACTCACTTGTCGTGGAAGGTCAGAGTGCTTGCTGTTTGGTGAGTTTTGTGGGCTCTCACGTGGCGACTGCCCCCCAGTCCCCCCTGCTGGCCCTGTGCACTCAACGTGGCGGGATCTCAGCCTGAAAAGCCTGGCGTTTCCATCTGAGTTTGAGGGTCCAGGGGCAGCCCCCCACGGCAGTCCCGTGAAGCAGCTTGTGGGCCCGTGCATTCTCCTTGGGGCTACCTGCCACACACAGACCCTCTCCCACTTCCCCCGCAACATGTGGCACGGAGGCACGGTCCACGCCTCCAGCTCCGTGAGCGGCTCTCAGAGCTCACCCACTGGGACGAATTCACCTGTGGCCCCAGGATCTGGACTCACCCTCGGTGCGGGGTGTCATGTTTGCTCTCTCTGCAGATGGCATCCATGAAGATGTTCCAGATTCAGTTCCACACGGGGTTTGTGCCTCGGAACGCCACCACTGTGAAATTTGCCAAGTATGTTGGTGCCGCGTGGGCTCGGTGGGGAGGGACAGGTGCCCCGCGCCGCCGCAGCACCTGCATGTGAGCTGGCCGTGGGAGCCCCAGCGGGAGTGGCGGGCTGTGTGACTGCCGCTTGGTGGCGCTGGGCCTGTTCCTAGACCATCCTGGAGCTGCATGTGTTGTGTGCAGGCTGCTGGGGTGGACCTGGTGGCTGCTGCTCTGGCCCCTGATGGTGTGTGTGTCTGTTAGAATTTAGCCCTCACACCCAGGCGTGGCATGAGCAGGTGAGCAAGTGGCGGCTGCATCTTCGCAAACGTTCCTGAGCCTGCCGTGTGCAGAGTGCCCTGCTGGGCGGAGGTTGGAGGAGATGCGGGGCAGTCATGTCTGGAAGCTCACGCTCTAGTGTTAACTCCCTCTGTAAACAAGCTCAGTCACAGGATGTCCCCCGCCCCCACCGTGCCCAGCACCTGTTAGCTCCCTGTCCTCATGACATCAGCGCCCAACAGCACCTAGCCTGCCCTCTGCAGGCTCAGGTGCAGATGCGGTGAGCAGCAGAGCAGGCTCTCACACCGGGCGTTCTGATTCTGACTGGAGGTTTTTTGTTTTTTTTGTTTTTTGTTGTTTTGTTTTTGAGACAGAGTCTTGCTCTAACACCCAGGCAGGAGTGCAATGGCGCAATCTCAGCTCACTGCAACTCCACCCACCAGGCTCAAGCGATTCTCTCGCCTCAGCCTCCTGAGTAGCTGGGATTACAGACCTGCACCACCATGCACGGCTAATTTTTGTATTTTTAGTAGAGATGGGTTTCACTCTGTTGGCCAGGCTGGTCTTGAACTCCTGACCTCAAGTGATCCGCCTGTCTCGGCCTCCCATTTAACTGGAGATCTTTCTACTCAATCACAGACAGGCTTATCTGTCAAGACACAGTGGAACAAACATTGTTTCAGGAGCCAGAGGGGGCACCCACGGGGGCTCCCGAGACAGAGGCTGTGGCTGCAGGGCCTGCTGTGTTCCAGGCTCTGTACTCTACCCAGTAAACAAAGGGAAGCCTTGGGGCCAGCCCCACGGGGATGCTGGGGGACTCTGCACCTTGGGAGGGGTGCTGGCCTGGCCTGGGCGAGCCCAGGAAGAGCTGGCACCTGCTGCTGTCGTGGACGGCCTGCACTGGGAGGCCGGGGGGTCCTCTCGTGTTTTTCTGTCTCTGTGATTCTTTTTTTACATTTCTTTTTTTACATCTCTTGTCTTTGTTGTGTCTTACGCTTTTCTTTTTTTAACTCACATATTCACAACTTTAACAATTTTCGTTTCTTTTTTCCTCCTTTGGAGGAAGAAAAACACCCAGGGTTTTCAGCCACAAGGGAGGCGGTGCTTAAAATAGTTTTTTTAAAGACCGAGGTACTGATGATGAAGAGGAAAATGTCGGTGAAGGACCTATCGGGGATTCAGATGATGGAGGCAGGAGGCAGGGACTTTGGTAACTGATTATTCACCAAAGTCGGGGGAATGATGGGAATTTCACCGGAGATCTGGAACATAAAAAGGAAACAGATGTGAATTCTAGAACTGAAAAATATTATAGCCGAAATGAAGGCTTCAGTACACGCTTAACAGTGGAACAGGCACAGCAGAACAGACGGTGAATTGGTGGGAAAGATCTTCCGATGGCAGCACAGAGAAGAAACGATGGAAGAAGACACGTATAGAGAGGGTCACGAGAGAGACTGTGGCACTGCAGGGGCCTGGCGTGCTTTTACTTGAAGTTCTAGAAGAGAGAGAATGGAACAGAAATAATACTTGAAAAATCACTGGCCAAAAATTTTCCTAAACTGATGGAGGACGTCAAAACCATGGAATGAGAAGCTTTGCAGACACCAAAGAGAATACTTTTTTTTTTTTTTTTTTAACAAAAAGAAGAAAAGAGGTTCAGTACCTCAGAGCATCCTGGTTGAATTGCTGGAACCCAAAGAGAACAATCTCCAGCCCCTGGGGACGGGACAAGTGGGAATGCAGGACCTGCCGAGTGACACCCAAGGGCAACCGTGGCATGCTGTCTCTAAAGTGCTGAGAGGAAAATGCGGGAATTCTATATCCGGTGAAATTATCCTTGAAATATGAAAGCCAGTTAAAGATGTCTTCAGCCAAGCAAAGGATGAGAGAGTTGATTGTTGGCAGAACTGCTCCGTTTCAGCAAATATCCAAGGGCAAGCCTGCAAAGCCTGCAGCCTAGAGAAGGCAGGGCAGGGAGGCTGGAACGCATGACTGTGGTGAAATGACACCAGCACCAGCTGCTTAAAACACCAGTATGTCCTGTGGGTTTTAAAACCTGTGTGGTAGTAACACATCTGACAGCAGGAGCACCAGCGTGCACGCACACATATCCAGGAGCACCAGCATGCGCGCGCACACACACATCCCCGGGAGCACCAGCGCGCGCGCACACACACACAGCCGAGGAGGGGATTAACCAAGTGAACGTGTTTCAGGAGCCCCGTCACCAGGAAGCAGGGAATGTACCAATCCCTAGGGCAGATTAAAGATACAATCAAGAAGAAAAATGGAACAAAAACTATGTGATTAATTCGCAAGAACAACGTAGAGATAAAGAAACAAACCCAGATGGGATATAGATAGAAAACAGCCAGCTAGTAGACCTACGCCCCGCTGTGCCTGTCAGTCATCCCATGGAAGGTGAGTAGAAGACACACACCAGTTAATCGGGCTGGATTAAAAACCAAGCACACACAAAGCTCAAGTCTGTACTGCTTATAGGAGCCATACTTCAAAACCCATGCACACGAAGACCCAGCAAGGCTGAAGTGGAATAATTGGAAGTTGCTTACCATGCAGACCATAACAGGAAGAGGGCTGATGCCACAGTGTCAATGTCAGGTGGGACAGACCAAGGCAGGAGGTGACGGGCAACGTCACAGGGGTGAGGGCAATGACATGGCTTCAGTACAGGCAACACAAAGGGGCAGAACGAGGGGTGAAGTGGACAGGCCCACGCTGATGGCTGCCTCTCTCCCCAGGCAGCAGAACAGGTAGACACAAACATCAAGATACAGATTTTTTTACAAGGTTTAACCAACCTGACCTGAGTTTTGCAAACTTCAGCAAATTCTTGAAGAAATGGCATCTGTTCAAGTGGGCGTGTGTCAAAGTCTTACGACATCTCAACGGTGGATGAAGGTGGGAGTCAGGGACAGGAAAACCCCAAGACCATGTGCTCGTGAGTAATCCACGCGCCAAAAAGGAAATCACCATTGGAATGAGAAAATATTTTAAACGCGGTGATAATCAAAATACCCCGTATCAGATGTTTCGGGATGCATCTACAGCAGGCTTTAGAGGAAATTGGTAACTTTAAACGCATACATTTAAAGGAAGAAAGGTTGGCTGGGCACAGCGGCTCGCAGCTGCAATTCCAGCACTTTGGGAGGCAGGAGCATTGCTTGAGCCTGGGAGATCAAGGCTGCAAGGGTGCAGTGAGCTGTGAGCAAAACCCTGTCTCGGGGGAAAAAAAAAAGAAATGTTCGAAGTCGGTGACCTAAACTCGTATCTCAGGGAGTTATCTCTAACTCAGGGAGTTATCAGAACAGCAAATTAAACTCAACAAAGTAGGTGGAAAAAAAATAATCAAGGGTAGAAACAATTCAGTTAAAAACAAGCATACTGTCCAGGCACGGTGGCTCATGCCTGTAATCCCACCACTTTGGGACCCCGAGGTAGGTGGATCACCTGAGGTCAGGAGTTCAAGACCAGCATGGCCAACGTGGTGATACTCCATCTCTACTAAAAATACAAAAATTAAATGGGTATGGTGGCAGATGCCTGTAGTCCCAGCTACTTGGGAGGCTGAGGCAGGAGAATCACTTGAACCCGGGAGGCAGAGGTTGGAGTGAGCAGAGATCACGTCATCGCACTCTAGCCTGAGCAACAAGTGAAACTCCATTTCAAAAAAAAAGCAAGCACACTATAGGAAAAGTCAGTAAAGCCAAAAGGTGTTTCTTTTGATTATCAGAAAATATTGATTGCTTAACAAGTCTGGTCAAGAAAGGGAGATGGAACACGGAAACACAGGCTCCCAGGGTGGGAAACCAAAGCAGACAGGTCCCGTAGACATTCAGATGGCATGTGCGGTGCTGGGAGGAACGCCATTCTCAGTGGAATGGGCAAATTATCTGAAAAACGCCTCTCAAAATACACCTACGAAGAAGTACGGCGTTGTAATGTCTGTTAAAGAAATATATTCTGTAGTTTAAAACCTTCCTACAGGCCGGGCACTGCGGCTCATGCCTGTAATCCCAGCACTTTGGGAGGCTGAGATGGGAGGATTGCTCGAGCCAGAAGTTCGAGACCAGCCTAGTTAACGTAGTGAGACTCTGTCTCTACGAAAAAAATTTTTTTTAAATCAGCCGGATGTGGTGGCACATGCCTGTGGTGCCAGCTAGTCAGGAGGCTGAGGTGGGAGAATCGCTTAAGCCTGGGATGCCTAAGCTGTGGTGAGCCATGATTGTGCGCACACACAAAAGAACCTCGTAGGAAAGGAAAATTGCAAGCCAGATCTCATGAATATAGATAGAAAAATTCCAAACAAAATATTAGCTGAAAGAACCCAGTGTTATGTAACAAGGATGACATGTCTTGACATCTGGTTTATTTCAGGAATGTGAAGTGGTTTTAACATTTGAAAATTGGTCAGCCACCATACTTCACCACGTTAGCCGAGCAAAGGCGAAAACCAGGCAAAGTTTTCGTAGATAAAGCATGATAAGAATGAGCGCTCCTTTCTCATCACAATGCCCCGCAAAGAGGAGCAGAAGGAACCTTTCTTAGGCTGATAAAGAGCACCCACAGAATCCTGAAGCACCACAGCTAATCATGATGTATTTGGACATTTCCCTCCTGAGTTTGCAGACAGAGCAGGGGTTTCACTCTCACTATCCAGGATTTTATGGTCGGTCTTAGCCAGTGCAGTAAGGCAAGAAAAAGAAAGGGCAGAAGAAATGGAAGTTCCAGCTGTTGCTTTTCACAGGTAGCATGATTGCTTTCAGCAAGAAACCTAAGGAACCTGTATACCATCAGAATGAGCAAGTAGATTTCATGAGATGGCTGAATGAAGTTAGACACGGGGCAGCAGGAGAGGAGCACGTGGAACGTGTGTGGGCTCTGCACGTCGAGCCTGCACTGTGCCTGGGGGAGAGGCGTGTTCCCTGGCCGCGGGCCTGCACAGTGCCTGGGGGAGAGGGACACAGGATTGCAGCCGTGGCACAAGTGTAACAGCCAAACCTGTTGGGAGCCCCTTCTGCCCTGTTGGAGCTGGTCTGGCGGGAGCCTGCGGGCCGTGTCCTCTGCAGTCCAGGGCTCTTGGGAGCGGCCAGCCCTGCTCACAGACCTCATTGTGCCCTCAGCGCCAGGCTGGGTGAGAGCCGGGCCTGCAGACCCAGTGCCCAGGGGTGTCTCAAGGGGCAGCTGGGGCAGGGAGGCTGGGCATGAGTGGCGCTCCCTCTGGGGCTGCCCAAGTTTGGTCTGCCCCAGGACCTGAGCGTGCCTGGCCGACCTGGCTCCCTGCGCACATCATCCCTCCGTGCCCCTCCCGCTGTGCCCCTCCAGCCTCGGTGGTGGCCGGTCTGAGCCTCCGCTGCGGTGGCCGTCGGATTCTCTGCTGGTGCCTGCTGGCTGCTCTGCAGACGTTGCTGCCTTCACATCTCCACGCCAGCTGTGCCACCGCTTTGCAGTCGCTGCTGCCCCCGACAACGGATAGCGGCACCTAAGAGGCTCGGGCGCAGAGGGAAGCTCATGTTGGCCCCGGCTGGAGTGCACGTCAGTCCTGGCTTCGGCCGTGGCCACCTCCGCCCAGAGCCCTGAGAGGGCATCCAGGGGGCGCTGCTCCGCGTGAGGTTGGCCACCCGTCAGGGCAGGCACGGGGTGTTCTCCCCTCGCGCAGCAAGAGTATGTTTTAGGGGGTGAGCAGGAAGGGATAAACTAGAGGCCGTCACACATCCCAGGCATGTGTGGAGCTCAGAGAAGTGACAGTTGAAACCAGCCGTGGCTCTGACCCAGACAGGCTGCCGGGCCCATCTCCCTGCTCCCTCGGCGTGTCCCACTCTGCTCTGGGTGTTCCTGGCCCTGCAGACACTAGCACCCTGGGTTTCCCAGGAACTGGCCACCACTCTCTTGTGTTTCTGCTTTATTTTTTTAGATGTATAAAATTCAACATGTAGAGATTTTAGGTGGCATAAAATAAGACAGGCATGGAAAGCCTACTGCCTGCTGGAGATCCCGGGCTTATCAGTGCAATTTATGACAGTGGGATCAGAGATGATCATAGGAAATGCGTGAAATAGCCTGGAATTCCTTAGGGAATTCCTGAGGGGCCAGGAAGTGGTCACAGTGTCAGGTCACACCTGTCTCCCCGTGCGGCCAACACCCCAAGGCGGGCCCCGCTGACCCCTGCCCCTGCTCCCCACAGCCCAGCCAGTGCTGCCTCCTCAGCCCCACGGTGGACACGGCTTTGTTTCCGCTGGAATCATGTTCCTAATTCCCTGGCAGCCGGATTCTAGAGGTCTTGGTCTTATGGGCATCTGTTGACAGTTGTGGGTTTTTGTCAGGGTGGATGTCATCATTTTTATGGAAAACACAATTAGTATCCCAGAGTGTGTGCTCTGAGCTGCCAGGTGGCCGCAGTCTGTGTGTGCTGGGGAGTGAGGGCCAGCACCTGCCCTGGAACCCTGGGGTCCCACCTCAGAGCTGCCTGCCTGGGTGCCGGAATCGCCTGCTGTGGGATGTTGTCCCGTCTGCTCTGAGCACGCGGCCTCCCCGGACTTGCGGGAAACGTAGTGGCCCCGCCCAGTGCCCTTCTGCCGGGAACACAGTCACGGGCATCCGCACTGTGACATCCGAAGAGCAAGTGAAAAGATGCTCTTCTGGGCCCTGACCGGGGGTGCTGGTGCCCTGTGGGTTCCTGGGACAGCGCTGGGTCCGCTCACACGGCTCCAGCTTTGGCACGCGGGGGTGACCGGCTGCCCTTTTGTTCTCGCACCACTGCCTGCAGCTGCAGTCTGTTTCCGTGCACGTTTCTTTAGTGAATGTCTGAGGGACTTACAGACTACTTGGGGGGCCTTCCTAAGTGGCGTCTACTCGTAACACCGCAGGTATGACCTGGACGCCTGTGACATTCAAGAGAAATACCCGGACTTATTTCAAGTGAACCTAGAAGTGGAGGTGGAGCCCAGGGACAGGCTGAGCCGGGAAGCCCCACCGTGGGAGAACTCGAGCATGAGGGGGCTGAACCCCAAAATCCTGTTTTCCAGCCGGGAGGAGCAGCAAGACATTCTGTCTAAGTTTGGTAAGATCCCGCAGGTGTATTGAGGGAATCCTGTTGTGGTGAGTGTCTCTGTGGAGGGAGACCTCTTCAGCCGAGCTCTGGCAGGGCTGGGCCACCGCGCCCACTGCTGCATCCAGGCCCTGAGCAGCTTGGGCTGCAGGAGGTTTTGGAAACTCTGTCTTGGATGCTGGGACCACCACCAGCTACACCAGAGAAGGAGGACTCGCAGGCTGCAATTTTGGAGGCCCTTGGGCAGGGACGGAGGCAGAGGGAGAAAGCCCGAGCTGCTGGGGCGAAGCGGGGTTTTGTCCCGGGCGTGTGTCTGGGTCAGATTTTTGTCACGTGTGCGGGACACACATCCACTCCCACTGTGACCCTCGGGCCTGCTCAGCAGCACGTGGACAACACGGCAGAGCCCTCGCTCCTGTTGCTCTTCTCACTTCCGAGCAGCTTCGAAAAGGCAGCCCAGGAAGCGCTGGCAGGTGGGCCCAGGGCCGCCCACTGCCCATGCCACGCTTGTCCTGGGCTCTTGGTTTGCAGTGTTTGCATTTTCTTTCTGAGCATCTTCAGCGTCCCTGAAAGAGGCTGCATGTGTGGCGTGTGCGTGCTGTGTATGTGTCCGTGGGTGGCGTGTGCCCGTGTGTGCCGTGTATGTGTGCACGAGTTTACTGTGCATGTGTGTGTGTGCTGTGTGCACATGAGCGTACTGTGCCTGTGTGTGCTGTGTGTGCATTCGTATGTACCATGCATCTCTGTGTGCTGTGTGTGCTTTCATGTGTACCATGCACCTGTGTGTGTGCTGTGTGTGCTGTGTGTGCATTCGTGGTACCCTGCATCTGTGTGTGTGCTGTGTGTGCATTCATGTGCACCGTGCATTTGTGTGTGTGCTGTGTGCATTCGTGTGTACCGTGCATCTGTGTGTGCTATGTGTGCCATGCATCTGTGTGTGTGGTCTGTGTGAATTCGTGTGTACCGTGCATCTGTGTGTGCTGTGTGCATTCGTGTGTACCGTGCATCTGTGTGTGTGCTGCGTGTGCATTTGTGTGTACCGTGCATGTGTGTGTGTGCTGTGTGTGCATTGATGTGTAACGTGCATCTGTGTGTGTGCATTCGTGTGTAATGTGCATCTGTGTGTGTGCATTCGTTTGTACCATGCATCTGTGTGTGTGCTGTGTGTGCATTCATAGTACCCTAACGTGCATCTGGTGTGTGTGCATTCGTGTGTAATGTGCATCTGTGTGTGTGCATTCGTTTGTACCATGCATCTGTGTGTGTGCTGTGTGTGCATTCATAGTACCCTGCATCTGTGTGTGTGCTGTATGTGCATTCATGTGTACCGTGCATCTGTGTGTGTGCTGTGCGTGCATTCGTGTGTACCATGCATCTGTGTGTGTATTCATGTGTACCGTGCATCTGTGTGTGCTGTGTGCATTCGTGTGTACCGTGCATCTGTGTGTGTGCTGCGTGTGCATTTGTGTGTACTGTGCATGTGTGTGTGTGCTGTGTGTGCATTCATGTGTAACGTGCATCTGGTGTGTGTGCATTCGTGTGTAATGTGCATCTGTGTGTGTGCATTCGTTTGTACCATGCATCTGTGTGTGTGCTGTGTGTGCATTCATAGTACCCTGCATCTGTGTGTGTGCTGTATGTGCATTCATGTGTACTGTGCATCTGTGTGTGTGCTGTGCGTGCATTCGTGTGTACCATGCATCTGTGTGTGTATTCATGTGTACTGTGCATCTGTGTGTGTGCTGTGTGTGCATTCATGCGTACTGTGCATCTGTGCGTGTGCTGTGTGTGCATTCATGCGTACCGTGCATCTGTGTGTGTGCTGTGTGTGTATTCGTGTGTACCATGCCTCTATGTGCTGTGTGCATTCATGTGTACTCTGCATCTGTGTGTGTGCTGTGTGCGCATTCATGTGTACTGTGCATCTGTGTGTGTGCATTCGTGTGTACCGTGCATCTGTGTGCTGTGTGTGCATTCATGTGTACCATGCATCTGTGTGTGTGCTGTATGCATTCGTGTGTACCGTGCATCTGTGTGTGTGCTGTGTGTGCATTCGTGTGTACTGTGCATCTGTGTGTATTCATGTGTACTGTGCATCTGTGTGTGTTGTGTGCATTCATGTGTACCATGTATGTGTGTGTGTGCTGTGTGCATTCATGTGTACTGTGCATCTGTGTGTGTTGTGTGCATTCATGTGTACCGTGCATCTGTGTGTGCTGTATGCATTCGTGTGTACTGTGCGTCTGTGTGTGTGTGCTGTGTGTGCATTTGTGTACCATACATCTGTGCGTGTGCTGTGTGTGCATCCGTGTGTATCGTGCATCTGTGTATGTGCTGTGTGTGTGTGTATCATGCCTCTGTGTGCTGTGTGCATTCATGTGTACTCTGCATCTGTGTGTGTGCTGTGTGTGCATTCATGTGTACCTGGCATCTGTGTGTGCATTCGTGTGTACCATGCATCTATGTGTGTGCTGTGTGTGCATTCATGTGTACCGTGCATCTGTGTGTGTGCTATGAGTGCATTCATGTGTACCGTGCATCTGTGTGTGCATTTGTGTGTACCACGCGTGCATCTATGTGTGTGCTGTGTGTGCATTCATGTGTACTGTGCATCTGTGTGTGTGCTGTGTGCATTCGTGTATATCATGCATCTGTGCGTGTGCTGTGCGCGCAGTCATGCGTACCGTGCATCTGTGTGTGCTTTCATGTGTACCCTGCGTCTGTGTGGCATTTGATGCCTCAGTGGTGTGTTCCTTGTGCATGTTCATATGTGCGTGTGTTGTGCCCCAGTGCACACCCATGGCCCAGAGCGGCATCCAAGTGGATAGCAGGCATCTGTTCACAGAGATCCCCTCCCCGTCATGTCACTGGCCTGCTTTACCGACAGCCTGGCCTGCCACTGTGCTGGCGCCCGACTGGCTGCACTTCCCAGCTCTGGGGTCAGTGCTGCCCTGAGGCTGCTGGCCAGTGCTGGTGCCCTGACGCCCTCCCTCTCCTGGCAGGGAAGCCGGAGCTCCCCCGGCAGCCCGGCTCCACGGCTCAGTATGATGCTGGGGCAGGTTCCCCGGAAGCCGAGCCCACAGACTCCGACTCACCGCCAAGTAGCAGCGCGGACGCCAGCCGCTTTCTGCACACACTGGACTGGCAGGGTAGGCAGCGTCCCTGGACCCGGCCTCTTGCAGAGGGCAGGCCCCTGGTCTGAAAGTGCCCCTGGGGCAGGGCAAGCGTCTTGGGAGACGGGCCTTGGGCAGAGCTGGGCTGCGTCACAGTGGGCTGTGCGCCCAGCACGTCAGCCTGTTCTTTAATGGCTCACGAGCTAAGAATGATTTCATGTTTTTTTAAAGGTGAATAAAAACAGAACGTGTCCACAAAGTCTGAAATACCGACCCTAGCTCTTCATCCCAGTCTGTGGGCCTGGGGAGACGGGCAGCACGGGCCATGCTGGCAGTGCCCCTGGGTACAAGGAAAGGGCTTGGGAAGAGGGACAGTCTGTCCCCACCCGGGGATCCCACATCTCTCTGCCCAAACCCCCCAGTGGGCTCCCAGCCCCTCCCCAGGCTTTTCAGGAAAACACCGGGCGCCGTCCCTGGACCTTGCCCCAGACACACCCCAAGGGATGCCCCTGCCACTTCCTGTCCCAGCACCCTTGGCCGTCCCAGCAGGGTCGTCCCTTCTGCCGCCTGTTCCCAGAGCACCTCGATTGGTGTTCCTCCCCCACAGTGCTGCCGTGTGGCCCCCACTTGACTCAGCCTTAGGCACCACAGAGGCCTGGGTGGAGAGAGCTGCAGGCAGAGCCTTGAGGCAGAGGCTGGAGGTGGGTGCGCTGCAGACGCCTTAGGAAACCCCCCCAGAAACTTCTGCAGCACGCGCCAAGGCCCTGGGCCGAGGAGGCACTGAGGGGCCACGTGTGGGGACCCTGGTGCTGGCCATGTAGGCTCACCAGCCTGTGGTTTTGTTTCCTTTTCGCAGAAGAGAAGGAGGCAGAGACTGGTGCAGCAAATGCCTCTCCCAAGGAGAGCGAGTCTGCCCTGATGGAGGACAGAGACGAGAGCGAGGTGTCGGACGAAGGGGGTTCCCCAGTCTCCAGCGAGGGCCAGGAGCCCCGGGCCGATCCGGAGCACCCCGGCCTGGCAGCAGGGCTGGTGCAGCAGGATGTGGTTTTTGAGGTGGGGACGCCAGCTGTGCTCCCGGAGCCTGTGCCACAGGAAGACGGGGTTGACCTCCTGGGCCTGCACTCCGAGGTGGGCGCAGGGCCAGCTGTAGCCCTGCAGGCCCTCCAGGCCCCCTCCAGCAATACCGACCTGCTCTGCTGCCTCCTTGGGCCCCCAGAGGCCACCTCCCAGGGGCCCCCGGAGGATCTGCTTGGCGAGGCCCGCCTGCTCCTGGCAAGCCCAGCCCCTCCCCTGAGCATGCAGAGCACCCCAGGAGGAGGGCCCCCTGCTGCTGGTACGTGTTTCTGTTCGACGGCGAAGGGCTTCACGGTGGATGAGAGATGAGGTTGAGTCATTCTCACTGCATGGGCATGTCTCGAAGGCGGCCGTAGGAAGGGAACGTGCCCTCCCCCCACCTCCCCCAGGAGCACCCTCAGGGTCAGGGCAGGGGGCTGGTTCTGCGCTGCCCGCCTGAGCTCATGGGCCGGGAACTGCCAGCTCCTCCGTCTCAGTGGCGTTACCGCGTCCATGGGAAGGTCATCCTGAGGCGTGGGGCACGGGGAGCCCCCGGGCCGACTGCCTCAGTGTCCCTGAGAGGGCCGCCGTGGGGTCTGGGCTGCCCAGCTGGAGTGGCCTCTTGGGTGGGCCTGACTCTAGAGCTGGGCTTTGTCCTCAGGCAACCAGGCTGAGTCCTCCCCATGCCCGCCTGTCCCCGCAGCTGACCCCTTTGGCCCGCTCCTGCTGTCTTCAGACAGCGACTCCCAGCCCTGCTCCAATCCTGATCTCTTCGGCGAATTTCTCAATTCGGACTCTGCGGCAGTCCCACCATCCTTCCCGTCTGCCCACAGTGCTCCGCCCCCGTCCTGCAGCGCTGACTTCCTGCAGCTGGGTAAGCGCCTCTCGCCTGGCAGCCAGCTCCCCACGGCCTCCTCCCTCAGGACTGCAGCCTATAGTCGGAAGCAGAGCTGCGGGTCTCAGGCAGTGGTGGGGCTGGACTGTGTGACCTCCGGGTGACCTTCCTGGTGGTCCCAGGGTCCTGCAGGATGTCCCTGAGGTCAGGACGGACTGCTCCCTGCTCTGTCTCCCCAAACCATCCGCAAACCCAGAACAGGTTGTGGGTCCCTGCAGTGCCTCGGTCGTCTGTGCCTGGCACCAGGTGTTTCTCGAGGCCGCCTCAGGCCCAGGGCTTGCAGCTGTTGGCAGAGAAGGCCACCTGCACCCAGGGCTTGTGTGGGACCGAGAGGTCAGAGGGAGGCGGTTGGGGGTCCAGGATCCAGAAAGCTGGCCTGGTCCGAGTGCAGCGGGGGCCTTGGGACACCGTGTCCGTGGGGAGGAGGCTGGGTGTGGGGCAGCGCATGGCTTGTTTAGACAGAGGCCTGCGGGGCCAGGCCCCGGGACAGGGCTGGGCTGCCCCTCCAGTGCAGTCCTACGGGAAGGAGCCCAGGCTCTCTCTCCTGAGGAGATAGCAGTGTGATCCACAGCGATCCACAGTGCGCTCTGGGGTGATGATGGTGACCATTGCAGGATGGCTTGTGGGTGGACGTGTGCAGCGCAGCCGTACAGCCTGGGGTGGGTGCCGCCAGAGCCAGGGCAGACAGGACCTGCTGGGCCGTCTGTCTGCCGAAGGCAGCTCAGCCAGGTGGAGCCACTGCGGGCTTAGGTGGGTTTTAGGAGAGGCAGGAACACAGGCCGTGGGGATGGCTACAGAAAGTGAGGTCCTGGCAAACCCTTTGGATGGCACTGCGCAGATGCTGTTCTCAGCCTCGCCTGCGAGCTGCTCTGCCTGCTGGTGCCCCTGCATCCACACGCTCGGTTCTGTGTGATGTGGTGACTCCTCAGGGCCCATCAGGAAGAGGGAGGCCGTCAGCCCAGCCTCAGCTCAGCCTGGGTGCAAGAGGTGCGGGCTCCTGGGGCCCTGAGCACAGCCTGGCGCTCCGCCACATTGCCTACTGCTGAGACACCAAATGTGCTCTCTTCCGGTTCCTTCGTCCCAGGGGATCTGCCAGGAGAGCCCAGCAAGATGACGGCCTCGTCCAGCAACCCAGACCTGCTGGGAGGATGGGCTGCCTGGACCGAGACGGCAGCGTCGGCAGTGGCCCCCACGCCAGCCACGGAAGGTATGACCACCACCCACCTAGGACAGGGCATGCAGGACATGCAGCTGCTGTGGCCCGTCTCTGTTTCACACATACCCGTAACAGTGCCTTTTGCGCAGGGAAGGACGGAAGGGCTGGGGTGTGCTCAGTGGTGCCGGCTCCACACCCAGGGCTGTGGTACGGCTGCAGTGGCCTCACTCACCCGCTGTGACTGGGGTACGTGGGGACACAGACTTGGCCTCCCAGAGCTGCAGCGGGTCCTGAGCATCAGCAGCGCCCCCGAGGCGGCCTTCTCCCACCAGCAGGGCGTCTGCGTTTGTGATGCGATCTCATGCCCCGCACTCTGTGGACCGCCTGGTTTTTCTGCCTGTAGTGCCCCGTGGCTGTTCCCTCCTGAAGGGGTTTGTGAGTGAGGCTGACCCCACGGTTCTTGTTTCGGTGTTGCGGCCGACATCCCGTGCCCTGTCAGGAACGGGGTCACGTACAGCAGTTCGTGTTTGTGAGCGTCTGTCCTTCCCGTCACCCTGGAGCCTGCCCTCCCGCGACGTCTCTGGTAGCACGGATGCTTATGTTGCAGCTGCGTCTCGGGCCAGCTTCAGCGATGTCGCGGGTTTGCTTCCAGACCACAAAGCCAGTACCCCTGGAAAGCCAGTCAGATTTTGTTTTCCCAGTAAACATAAAAGTTACGGACTTTTTGTGTGTGGGTTTTTTTTGTTTGTTTTTTCGTTTTTGTTTTTGAGACAGGGTCTTGCTCTGTCACCCAGGCTGGAGCATAGTGGCACGATCTCCACTCACTTCAGCGTTGACCTCCTGGGCTCAAGCGATCCTCCCACCCCAGCCTCCTCAGTAACCTTGGCTGCAAGCATGAGCCACCAGGCGCAGCTAAGTTGTAGATTTTTTTTGTAGAGACAAAAGTTTTGCCACGTTGCTCAGGCTGGTCCAGAACTCCCGGGCTTAGGCGATCCACCCACCTCAGCCTCTCAGGGTGCTGGGATTACAGGCATGAGCCACTGCACTCAGCTAACGCTTCTGTTTACATTATACTGTAGTCTGGTTTTTTGTTTGCTTTTGATTTTTGGGGAGATGGAGTCTTGCTCTGTTGCCCAGGCTGGAGTGCAGTGGCATGATCTCAGCTCACTGCAACCTCCGCCTCCTGGGTTCAAGCGATTCTCCTGCCTCAGCCTCCTGAGTAGCTGGAATTACAGGCGCCTGCCAACAAGCCTGCCTAATTTTTGTATTTTTAGTAGAGACAGGGTTTCACTATGTTGCTCAGGCTGGTCTTGAAGTCTTGATCTTATAATCCACCCCTCTTGGCCTCCCAAAGTGCTGGGATTACAGGCATGAGCCACCGCGCCTGGCCGTAGTCTGTTAAGTGTGCAATGGCATTATGTCTAAAAAATAAATATAGTTACCTTGATTTAGAAATACTTCATTGCTAAAAATGCTCATGATCCTAATCTTGCTGGTGGGGGTCTTGCCTCAGTGTGGACAGCTACTGACTGCTCAGGGCGCTGATTCCTGAAGGCTGGGGTGGCTCTGGCAGTTTCTGAAAATAAGACGATGAAGTTTGACGTACGATTGTCTCTCCTTTTCACAAAAGGTTCCCTGTGGTGTGCAGTGCTCTTGGGTAGTGTTTTAACCACATGGAGCTTTTCCCGTCGTCTCAAAGCTGCCACTGCTGTATCAATAAGTTTACGAATATTCTAAACCCTTGGTTCAGTGTTCACAGCATCTTCACCAGGACTAGATTCCATCTCAGCAACCTGCTTTCTTTGTTCATCCATAAGAAGCAACCCCTCATCTGTTCAGCTTTCATCCTGAGATTGCAGTAATTCGGTCCCATCTGCAGGCCCCACTTCTAATTCTAGTTCTCTTGCTGTTTCCACCACATCTGCAGTGACTTCCTCCACTGAAGTCTTCAACTCCTCACAGTCATCCTTGAGGGTTGAGATCAGCTTCTCCCAAACTCCTGTTCATGTTGCTGTTTTAACCCCCTCCCATGAATCGTGAATGTTGTTAATGGCATCTAGAATGGTGAATCCTTTCCAGAAGGTTGTCAGTGAACTTTACCCAGATCCATCAGAGGAATCTGTGGCCGCTGTAGCCTTAGAAATGTGTTTCTTAAATAGTGAGACTTGGAAGTCGACACGACTCCTTGGTCCAAGGGCTGCAAAACGGGTGTTGTGTTAGCAGGCACGAAGGCAGCGTGACTGTCCGCATACTCCTCTGTCAGAGCTTTCAGGGGACCAGCTGCGTTGTCGGGATTGTCAGCAAACAGTCGTATTTTGAAAGGAATCTTTTTTCTGAGCTGTAGATCTCAACAGTGGACTTAAAATATTCCACAAGCCGTGCTGTACACAGATGGCTGCCATCCAGGCTTTGCTGTGTCGTTTCTGTAGCACAAGCCAAGTCAATTTAGAGTCATTTTTAAGGGCACTGGGTTTTTTGAATGAATGAGCACTATTCGTTTAAAGCCGCCGTCTGCATTAGACCTTCACAAGAGAGGCAGCCTGTCCTGTGAGACCTTAAAGCCAGGCATTGACTTCTCTAGCTATGAAAGTCACAGATGGCGTCTTCTTCCCATACGAGGCCGTCTCATCTACGTGGAGAGTCTGGCAGGTGCAGCCCCTTCCATCAGTGATCTCAGCCGGATCTTAGCGGGTGACTTAGGCCGTCTCGTCTGCGTGGAGTCTGGCAGCCCCTTCCTCAGTGGTCTCAGCGGATCTTAGCGGATGACTTGCTGCATGCAGCTTCCCCGTCAGCGCGTGCTGCCTCACGTTGCGTTTGTATGTTGCAGAGATGGCGTCTTTCCTTCAGCCTCAGCCCCTGCTGGCTTCACTCTTCTTCTGCAGCGTCCTCACCTCTTTCTGCCTTCGTAGAATTGAAAGAGTTGAGACCTTGCTCTGGATTATGGCTTAGGGGGATGTTGTGGCTGGTTTGACCTTTTCTCCAGATCACTCGAACTTCCTCTGTATCAGCAATGGGGCTGTTTTGTTTTCTTATCAGTTGTGTGTTCACTGGAGTGGCGTAATTTCCTTCAGGAACTTTTCCTTTGCATTCACAACTTGGCTTGCTGGTGCAAGAGGCCTAGCTTTTAGCTTATCTCGACTTCCTTTCTTTTTTTTTTAAGAGACAGGGTCTTGCTCTTTCTCTGGCTGGAGTGCAGTGGCACAATCATGGCTCACTGCAGCCTCAACCTCCTGGGCTCAAGGGATCTTCCCACCTCAGCCTCCCGGGTAGCTGGGACTACAGGCGCTTACCACCATGCCCAACTAATTTTTTAAATTTATTTTTTGTAGAGATAAGGTCTTGCCGTGTTGTCCAGGCTGGCCTTGAACTCCTGGGCTCAAGCACTCTCCTGCCTCAGCCTCCCACCATGCTGAGGACACAGGCATGAGCCACTGCGCCCAGCCGCCTTCTGCTTTTGACGTGCCTCCCTCACTAAGCTCAGTTGTTCCTAGCTTTTGATTTCAAGTGAGACACTTGCAACTCTTGCATTCACTTGAATGCTTATAGGCCGTTGTAGGTTCTGAATTGGCCTAAGTTCAGTATGGTTGTGTCTCGGGGAATAGGGAGGCTTGAGAAGGAGCGAGAGGGGGAGCAGCTGGTCTGTGGAGCAGCCACAGCACACTGTCAGTTCAGCTCACCGTCTTCTATGGGCACAGTTCATGGCACCTGAAAACAATTAGAGCAGCATCCTCAGCTCATGGAACACAGATCACCAAAGCAGATACAATCATCAAGAAGTTTGAAATATCATTAGAATTCCCAAAATGGGGCACAGGGACAGAGTGTGCATGGTGTGGGGAAAATGGTGCCAATAGACTCGCCGGGCGGAGTTGCCACAGCCCTCAGCGGGTGGAACACACACTGTCCACAGAGCCCCGGGAGGCACAGTGCACAGCGCACCAGGGCCTGGGTGCCTGTCCCCTCGAGTATGCTTCCAGACGTCTTTGCCCAGGGGCAGCTCCCGTCTCCAGTTTGTCTCCTGGTTGGATGATCACTGTGAAGATGTCTCGCCGGTTTGATTTCTTTCTTATGAATGAGGTTGACTCTTAGTTTGCGTGGTTTTGGTTATGTGTATTTCTTTTGAGAATCATTTCATGTTCTTTGCTCATTTTTGGCCTCAGGAATTCATCTTTTTCCTCAAGTAGATCCACGAGGGCTGTTTATACATGAAGAGCCTGGTTTTAGTGACTGCATGGCACTCTATCGAGGAGCTCTACAACTGCTGTTTTTTTGTTTCTTTGTTTTTTTTGGAGACAGAGTCTCATTCTGTCACTGGGGCTGAGTGCGGTGGCATCACTCGGTTCCCTGCAGCCGTCAACCCCTGGGCTCAAGCGGTCCGCCCACCGCAGCCCCCCGGGTAGCTGGGACCACACGCATGTGCCACCGTGCCTGGTTGATTTTTTTATTTTTTGTAGAGATGGTCTTTCTATGTTGCCCAGCCTGTGTTTTATGATTTTATACTTAGGATATTCTCAAACTTTTGTTATTATAAAGAATATCATGAAGAACATTCCTAATTTTAGATGGATTCCAAGAAGTGGCACTGCAGAATAACAGTCATAATGATATGAACATGGTTTGGTTCTGGGTGTGCGTTGTGAAGCTGTTTTCCCCGAGGAGTAGTGTGGGGCGTGGAGGCAGGGTCCACCACATGCGCCTCTGTCCTGGCTGGTCTCCTGCACACAGGCCGTGCAGGTACCAGCTCTCAGGCAGGAGTGAGGCTGTCACGTCGTAAGGAGGAGCGATCGGAGGTCCCAGGAGGGTGTGTTTTGCTTCAGGTGGTGCTTGTTCTAACGCCCTGTGCCCCTTTTCCAGGCCCCCTCTTCTCTCCTGGAGGTCAGCCGGCCCCTTGTGGCCCTCAGGCCAGCTGGACCAAGTCTCAGAACCCGGACCCATTTGCTGACCTTGGCGACCTCAGCTCCGGCCTCCAAGGTAACGTGGAGGGTACATTGCGGGTGTGGAAGCTGTTTCCTTGTAGGAGGTTTATTCTTGTCTGTCTGACTCTGAGCTACCCAAAGTGAAGTCTTTGCCTCTGTTCACCAAGACCCCCAGCCCAGAGCACAGTGACCCCAAGGGGACAGCGTGTCTGTACCTGTTCTAGGCGACTGCCAGCTGGCAGGCTACAACCAGGTGTTGCTGACACTGGCACTGCTGCCAGCCCCCACCCGCATTGTGGTGCCTGATCCATCCTGCCCTCAGGGCTGTGGGGGCCATCTGGGAAGCGGGGTCTCCACATGGAAGTGGGGTATGGCTGGGCTGTGCTCAGTCCCTGAGGCTGTGCTCAGAGCGTGCTGGCCGTTGGCCACAAGAACCCAGCCCACCCTCTCCAGTCCCATGTCTGCCTCAGGCCTGGCCTGGGCACTGTGGTCTGAGTCTCTGGTCCCGTGTCTGCCTCAGTCTCTGGTCCCGTGTCTGCCCGGGCGCTGTGGCTTCGAGTCTCCTTGGGTTGACCTGACGCCCCTGAGTCTCTGGGTTCATTTCCAGGATGTGTCTCCCTGGGGTCCCTGTGGCTTCTCAGAAGCAGCATCGGCGGCGGGGGGACGATCATCTGAAGGGGCCTCCTATGCACTCGCCTGGCTGTCGGGTGGAATCCTGGGCGGGAAGTGGCTCCACCTTAGGATGCTTATTGGTGCCGGTGACCCCCGGACTCTCCAGCATGCAGCCCCCGGGCAATGGCATCTGCTCCTGCCAGAGCCTGGCGGACTGTGCTGGGGCTCCCTCCAGCCTCAGGCTGGACACCTTACCTGCTCAGCTCCAGGAGCATTTCCCATCTCTTCCTCATTTCTCCTGTCCGTCCCTGAGTGCCTCAAATTCCTCTGAGCAGATGTCGGTGTCAGATCTCTAGGGCCGGCCTCGAGTCCTCACTCTGCCCTCCCGGGCTGGCCTTGACTCCTCACACCTCCCGGGCTGGCCTGGAGTCCTCACTCTGCCCTCTCGCGCTGGCCTTGAGTCCTCACACCTTCCGGGCTGGCTTCGAGTCCTCACACCTCCTGGACTGGCCTCCAGTCCTCACACCTGCCGGGCTGGCTTCGAGTCCTCACACCTCCTGGACTGGCCTCGAGTCCTCACACCTCCCGGGCTGGCCTCCAGTCCTCACACCTGCCGGGCTGGCTTCAAGTCCTCACGCCCTCCCAGGCTGGCCTCGAGTCCTCACACCTGCCGGGCTGGCCTCGAGTCCTCACACCTCCCGGGCTGGCCTCGAGTCCTCTGCTCTCACAAGCTTGCATCTGAAGTGCCTTCTATTCTGTCATGAAGTCCTAAGAGTTTTTTCATCTTTAAATGTTCTTTTTATGTTTGGGATGGTTTTGGGGATTTATTGTGACTTTTGAGGACGTCTGTGAGTGTTACTGTTGGTGTTGTTTTGTATATTCTTTCCCTTTGTGGCCTCTGTCTTGGGTTGTCTGAGAGCACGGTGGGGTTACGGGGGCTGCGCCCTCGGGAGGAGACCTGTGTGTGCCTTGACTGCCCTGGGTGGCCAGCACTGGGGCAGAAGGAGTGGACTCCCAGGGAGCCCTCTTGTCTGTGTCCTAGACACAGCCCCAGCCCTCTGACTGCTGGCTTGGTGGGCAGCCTGAGACCATCCTGCCTTCTGGGAAGACAGCAGTTCTGAACAAAGCAAAGCTGACACAACTGAAGGAAAAAATGGACAAACCCAAATCATAGCTGGTGACGTCAGCACTGCTGTCCCCACACGTGATAGAACAGCTGTCCCGAAGGCTGCGAGGATGCAGAGGGCGGAGGCACCAGCCAGGGCCCACTAGCTGCAGGCACGGACCTTTCCACGCACCGTGGGAGCCTCCTCCACACAGGCCCTGTCCTCAGAGAACTAGGATTCTGCAGTGTGCTCTCTGACCACAGTAAAATAGAACGGAAGAATCTTCACACTTGGGAACAAAACGGCACACTTTAAAATGACACCTGGGCCAGAGAGGAGGTCTCGAGGGAAACGATGCGTGGAGCTGAGAGAAGATGCAGGTGCAGCCTGGGAAAGCCCAGGGCCCCGCCAGGCAGCGCGGAGACACCCCCAGCCGTGGGTGCTTGCTGTGGAAAAGCTGGAATGCCCCAGCAGTAACCTGAGCTCTCCGCACAAGACGTTTGGAAGGGGGAGGGGAGCAAAATAAGCCTACAGCAAGCAGAAGGAAAGAAGGAGGAGCCACGGGCAGTGCAGTGGAACGCAGAGACGGCCAGTTCCGAAGCCCACAGACCTCTCCTGGGACTGGCAGGAAGAGTGACCCAGGTCATTGATACAGGGGACGGTGCAGGAGGCACCGCTGCAGACCCCGCAGGCTCTACCAGGGTCACGGGTGCAGGCGCAGCTGTGCAGTATGCTTGACAACTTACGTGAAATTGACAAATTCCTCAAAACCAGTTACTGCCACAACTTACCCAGTATCAAGTAGCTCCTTTGAAAAATTATATCAATACAAAGAAAATAAATTCATAATTAAAAACTTCCCAAAAAGGAAACCTGCGGACCCACCCGGGCCATTGGAGAATTTCACCGAATGTTGAGAGAACGCTAGTTCCACCCTCTTGCAGGAAGCAGGAGAGAGGGAGCTCTTTCTAATTGATTTTACGAAGCTCACGCTATCACCCGGAAACCAAAATCAGAAACAGTACCGAAAAGGGAAACTGGGCCCATATTCCGCATGAATATACACACAGATCCTCAACCAAACTTTAGCAAATAGACTTTATCAGTATATAAAGAGAATTCTACACCAAGATCAAGTAGGATTTATTCCAGGAATACAAGGCTGACATTTCAGAATTGGTTAACAAAATCTATTTAGGTTGCCGCAAAAGTAATTGTGGTTTTGCCATTGAAAGTGATAGCAAAAGCCGCAATTACTTTTGCACCAACCCAATACCATATTAACCAGCTGAAGAGTCATGTGATCACATCAACAATGCAGAAAAGGCTTTTAACAAAATTCAGCACCTTTTTATGATAACACTGTCAGTGAACCAGTAATGAGCAGAACGTCATCAACTTGGTAACAGGCATGTATAGAAACCCACAGGTGCAGTGGCTCACACCTGTAACCTCAGTGCTTTGGGAGGCCAATGTGGGAGGATTTCCTCAACCCGGGAGTTTGAAGTCAGCCTGGGCAATATAGTGAGACCCCTGTAAGAATGAGCCAGGTGTGGTGGTGAGCACCTGTGGTCCCAGCTACTCAGCCAGCTGAGGCAGGAGGATCACTGGGATCGCTTGAGGTCAAGGCTGGACTGGGCTTACTGCATCACTGCACTCCAGTCTGGGCGGCAGAGCAAGACTGTGTCTCAAAAACAAGAAACCTGCAGCCAACATCTTTTTTTTTTTTTTTGTTTTGCGAAGCGTCTGCTCTGTTGCCCTGGCTGGAGGGCAGTGGCATTATCTCGGCTCACTGCAACTTCCGCCCCCAGTTTCAAGCAATTCTCCCACCTCAGCCTCCCGAGTAGCTGAGATTACACGGCACACGCCACCACACCCAGCTAATTCTTGTATTTTTAGTAGAGACGGGGTTTCACCATGTTAGCCAGGCTGGTCTCAAACTCCTGACCTCAAGTGATCCGCCCCACTCAGCCTCCCAAGTGCTGGAATTACAGGTGTGAGCCACCACGCCTGGCCAAGCCAATATCATTTTTAACCGTCCTCCTAAAATCAGGAACAGGGCGGGAGTGTCTTTCTCTACTCCTATCTTGTCGAAAGTTCACAGCTGCTGCCATTGGCAAGAAAAGGGGGTCAAAGTGACACGCCACTACAAAGGGAAAAATAAAATTGCTCCCGTCTGCAGATGACATGATTGTCTGTGCAGGAACTCTCACGGCATCTACAAAAGATCTTAGAACTATGAGTTCAGTAAGGTCACAGGATACGAGATCGACACACCAAAATCTGTCGTATTTCTGTTTACTTGGTAATCTATACAAAGAAGGCGCAACATATCTTAAACAGAACCCGCATTTACAAGCACCTTTTTTTTTTTAAAGAGAAAAATAACATGTTTGTGTATAATCGTGACCAAAGACATGTCTCTAGGGCTATTGTGTCGGCGGTGGACGTAAAACCAACTGTGGCAAAAAAGACAAGGGAGTGGAGTGAATGACGAACGCGCTGCCCTCACGGCCCGAGCTCCCGGTAAGTGTCCGTTTCCTGTGCGCATCTGTAAGCCTAACACGGTTTCCTGCCCAATGCCAGCAGGGATTTTTCTGCGATAACAACTGAGCTTTCGTACAGTGTATTGAAAGCCAGATGGAACTAGATGCCCTGCATTTTTTTCTTTTCTTTTTCTTTGAGATCGAGTCTTGCTCGTCGCCCAGGCTGGACGTGCAGTGGCCGATCTTGGCCTCACTCAGCTACCACCTCCCGGCGGCTTCGCACCATTCTTCCTGCTCAGCCTTGCCGGAGTAGCTGGGACGCACAGGCGCCCGGCCGCCTCGCCTGGCCTAATTTTTTTGTATTTTTAGTAGAGATGGAGTTTCACCGTGTTAGCCAGGATGGTTTCGATCTCCTGACCTCGTGATCCACCCACCTCGGCCTCCCACAGTGCTGGGATCACAGGCGTGAGCCACCACACCAAGCCTCCCACAGTGCTGGGATCACAGGCGTGAGCCACCGCACCCAGCCTCCCACAGTGCTGGGATGACAGGCGTGAGCCACCGCGCCCGACCTTGCCTGGAATATTTTTGTAATGGAAAAATGACATGGGAGAAGTCATTCTTCCTGGCTTTGAGGCTTAGTCTGAAGCCACAGAAATCAACATTGCGGTGATGGCAGAGAGACACGTCTGTGGAGAGAAGAGAGGACTCAGAAATAGGCCACACAAGAGAGACCAGCGGAGCTTTGACAGAGGCAGGAAACCCATTCATCAGATGGTGCTGGGTAGCCGTAGGCAAGCCCTTAGCCCACATTGTACAGAGCAGCTCGTCAGAATCAGCCAGAGATCGAGACGTAAACCCGCAGGGCCTTTATAAAGGAGAAAACCTTTGTGGCCTGGGGTTGGGCAGCGTTCGTAGACTCACCACCCGAATCACACCCATAAGAGGACAGATGGACACAACTTCAGAGCTCTGGGCATCTGAGCTACGGACTGGGAGAAGATATTTCCAAACCGCCTATTTGACAAAGGACTCATGCACAGAATATAAAAATACAGTCAAAAACAAACCCGAAAGCAATCCAGTTAGAAAATGGGCAAGAGAAGGCCAGGCACAGTGGCTCACGCCTGTAATCCCAGCACTTTGGGGGGCCGAGGTGGGCGGATCACAAGGTCAAGAGATCGAGACCAGCCTGGCCAACATGGTGAAACCCCGTCTCTACTAAAAATACAAAAATTAGCCGGGCGCGGTGGCGATGCCTGTAATCCCAGCTACTCGGGAGGCTGAGGCAGGAGAGTCTCTGGAACCCAGGAGGCAGAGGTTACGGTGAGCCAAGACTGCACCACTGCACTCTAGCCTGGGTGACAGAGCAAGACTCTGTCTCAAAAAAAAAAAAAAATGGGCAAGAGACATGAAGACACTTCCAGCACATCAACATCCAATGGGCGGGAAGCAGAGGCTGAGACACCCGGCATCACCGAATGCCGGCGTAGAGGAGGATGGGGCGCGGGGGAGGACGGCGCGGGGGAGGACAGACTGCGTCTCTCGCATTGCCGGGGGGATGAGCCGCGTGTCTCTCGCGTTGCCGGGGGACGAGCCGCTGAAGCGGCAGGGTCACTCTGTAGAACAGGCGGTCGTTTTTCTCCTAAGCTAAACACAGCTACTCAGCTACGGTGGGACATAGGCATTTATCCCAGAGAAATGGAAACTCATTCACGCAAAAGTCCGTAACAGGCATTCAAAGATGTGTTGGTTGTAGCCAAACAGTGGAATCAGCCCGGGTGTCCTACAGGTGAACGGTTGAGTAGGTGGTTCCCACACCACCAGATGGCCCTCGGCAGGAGGGGGAGTGGCGGATGCCCCGGACCCGAGGGACCTGTCCTGAGTGAAGAGGTGCCAGGCTAGAGGCTGTGGCTGTCAGTTCCGTTCTAGAACATAACTAAGAAGACAGCCCGGGCGTGGCGGCTCACACCTACCATCCCAGCCCTGTGGGGAGGTGAGGCCAGCGGGTCTCTGAGCCTAGGAGTTTGAGACCAGCCATAGTGAGACCTTGTCTCCAAAAAAAAAAAGATGACAGAACCATAGTGAAGCATCCAGGTCGTGATTGCTGTGGTGCTGAATCTGCATGCGATCAGTGGCGTGGCCCTGCACACACATAACACAAGTCCAGCTGGCCACATCTGATGGCCTCTAGGTGGTGCAGCTGCCTGGGCTCAGCGCTTCTCTGAGGCTGTGAGAGACGCCCTCCCTGGGGGATGCTGGGCACAGATGCTCAGGGTTTTTACAGCTTCCTGCTATTTTAATTATTCCAAAATAATAAGTTAAAGGATCAGGCCAGGCATGGTGGCTCATGCCTATAATCCCAGCACTTTGGGAGGCCAAGGCAGGCAGATGATAAGGTCAGGAGATCGAGACCGTCCTGGCTAACATGGTGAACTCCCGTCTCTACTAAAAATACAAAGAAAATTAGCCAGGGGTGGTGGTGGGCACCTGTAGTCCCAACTAATCAGGAGGCTGAGGTGGGAGAATGGTGTGAACCTGGGAGGTAGAGCTTGCAGTGAGCCAAGATCCCACCACTGCACTCCAGCCTGGGCGACACAGCGAGACTCCATTGCAAAAAAAAAAAAAAAATTAAAGGATCAGCCCTGATTTGATGTTCTCCGAGAGGCAGTGGCCCTCCAGGACGCTACAGATGTGGGGACACGGCCCCCAGCCCCCGTGGACAAGTCCTGGGTCTGCCTTGGCTCATGGGGGTGGGGGTGCTGCCTCCACAGCTGCCCTGTCCTGGCGTCTGCCCTCCACCGAGAATGCTCCTGTCGCCCCAGTACCTGGCCTGTGCGGCCAGTCCCTGGAGACCTTCACACATGTAGGTGGAGCCGGCACCTCTGTCTGGACGGCCTCGGGTGATCAATGTTCTGTTCTGCAAACCTGTGTTTTCCAATAAACATGGTGTTCTGAGTTCTAGAAACGGTGGTTGCCCCGCACGGACAACCAGATGCCAAGTTTCTGACCTCCGTCTCCACAGGCTCACCAGCTGGATTCCCTCCTGGTGGCTTTATTCCCAAAACGGCCACCACAGCCAAAGGCAGTGGCTCCTGGCAGACAAGTCGGCCGCCAGCCCAGGGCGCCTCATGGCCCCCTCAGGCCAAGCCGCCCCTCAAAGCCTGCACACAGCCAAGGCCTAACTATGCTGCGAACTTCAGTGTGATCGGGGCACGAGAGGAGCGGGGGGTCCGCGCACCCAGCTTTGGTGAGTCCCCCACTCTCTGTTGCTGTGGAGTTTGCAGAGACCGCCCTGAACTGGCTAAAGGTAGAACCTGTGTTTTCTTCAACTCGGAGCCCAGTCCTGGGACAGGCATGGCCGAGCCACTCAGAGAAGGACGCAGTTTCCGATGTGTGTCCGCTGGCCTCTCTCCGGATCAGGCCTCTGGCTCCCTCTTGTTCCAGTGACACCCGCTTGACCTGTTTTTAACAAATGGCCTTTGCAACCCTGTCTTGTCTTCCCTCTTCTGTTCTGTGGAGGCATTAGGGTGGGAGCCCTATCCCCGGGGGCGGCGGGCGGAATTGGGCCTGTGTGTCTCTGCAGAAAGTTTCTCTTCTTAGCTGGGCTTCGTGGCTCACGCCTGTAATCCCAGCACTTTGGGAGGCTGAGGCGGGCAGATCGCTTGAGCCCAGGAGTTCAAGACCAGTCTGGGCAACAGTGAGACCTCCTCTCTACAAAAATTGTGAAAATTAGCCGGGCGTGGTGGCGCGTGCCTGTGGTCCCAGGTATTTGGGAGGCTGAGACAAAAGGATCACTTGAGGACTCAGTGATCCTCCCTTGGCCTTGGGAGGCCAAGGCTGCAGAGAGCCGAGATCGTGCCATTGCACTCTGGCCTAGGCGACAGAGTGGAGACCCTGTCTCAAACAAAAAAAAGTTTCTGTTCTTTTCTAGCTCAAAAGCCAAAAGTGTCTGAGAACGACTTTGAAGATCTGTTGCCCAATCAAGGCTTCTCCTCCAGGTCTGACAAGAAGGGGCCAAAGACCATTGCGGAGATGAGGAAGCAGGACCTGGCTAAAGACACAGACCCGCTCAAGCTGAAGGTGGGTGGGTGGGCAGCTCTTACTGGGAGCCCAGAGGCCTCAACCCAGGGCCCCTGGAGAATCTGCTGTGCCACACGGAGCCAGCGTCTCCAGCCAGGGACCTGTCACTGCCAATGGGCCTGGCAGCCCTCGAGGACAGGGCGGCCTGAGGCCTGGTGGGCAGGGCAGAGTCAAGCCCCAGGCCGTGCTGCTCCCCGTGTGCCCAGATGACTCAGCGCTGATGGGGGCGGGCATTACAGGAGTCAGTGCCCCCGGGTGTCTGCAGAGACTGTCGAGGGCAGGCATCTCCTGGGGGCTGCTCTGGGCGCTGAGCCTCCCAACCTAGGGCGCTCACTGGGGGTGAGGGTGCAGCAGTCAGGGTGTCCCTGCGCTGGCCATGAGACGTGCCCTGCTGTGTGGCTTGGCCGATGGCCAGCTCTACAGGCCACATGCGCCTGTGACCTTGGGGTCCTTTCACAGGCACCAGGGACCTTCCCCTTCTCCCTCTGAGTCTGGGGCCTGGGATAGGCCAAGGGGTTGCACCACCAGAACCAGCGTTTGTGTCCCCAGTGAACATCTGGCTGAGACATGGGTGTCTCTGTCCCAGCCTCTGGCCCCAGGCCCTGGAACATGAAGGCCACCTGGCCCTGTGTCGCCCGGAGTCGGCTTTGTATAGTTGAGGGCGGGGCGTGCAGTGGGACTTTGTCTGTGAGCTGGGCTGAGCCCACCCCACGTGACCAGGCACTTCCTCGGCATCATGCCTCAGTTTCCCCAGTGCAGAGGAGGAGGGCAGGCAAGCACCCAGGGCTCAGCAAGCTCCGTGTCTCCCGCAGCTCCTGGACTGGATTGAGGGCAAGGAGCGGAACATCCGGGCCCTGCTGTCCACGCTGCACACAGTGCTGTGGGACGGGGAGAGCCGCTGGACGCCCGTGGGCATGGCCGACCTGGTGGCCCCGGAGCAGGTGAAGAAGCACTACCGCCGCGCGGTGCTGGCCGTGCACCCCGACAAGGTGAGCAGAGCTGTCGGGCGGCTGCTGGAGGCCTTCGGGGGTGGGTCGCGGGGAGATCCTGCCCTGGCCGCCCACACGTGCTTGTAAGAGGCGCTTACACCGCCCATCACCCACAGGCCGCGGGGCAGCCGTATGAGCAGCACGCCAAGATGATCTTCATGGAGCTGAATGACGCCTGGTCAGAGTTTGAGAACCAGGGCTCCCGGCCCCTCTTCTGAGGCCGCAGTGGTGGTGGCTGCGCACACATCTCCACAGCTTGGGAGCTGTCGTGGGACCTGGGTCCCCACCGTGAGGGCCCCATGGGCGACGGCGGATGTGGCCAGAGTGGGGCTCCGAGCCCCGGGTCACCGCCTGCCCAGCATTCCAGGCACAGGAAGAGAAAGCATTCCAAAGCCTCTGATTGTTGTTTCCTTTTTCTCCTCCCGAAGGAACAGCTGATTCATGCTCCTCCCACAGTTGTCACATCTGTGATTTATTTGGTGTTTCCGGCGTGGCCTCTGGAGCACCAGCACATGGTGAGCCCCGCGGCTGGTGCTCATGAGCCCTGGTGTTTGCACCGCACTTTGTAATCAGTCCCGTGGTTGTCTGTACAGAATTAAACTATTTTCCGATGACTGCTGTCTCCAGTGTGGATCCGCTCGTCCAGGAGCCGTTCACCAGCTGGGGCGCAGGACTGTGCTTCCTCAGCAACCTTGCTGTGGCTGGATTGTTGCAGGGCCTGAGTGGAGAGGAGAAGAGTGTCCCGGGGCTGCAGGGGCTCTGGGCAGCTCTAGGGGACCATGGAGCCCAGCCAGGGCAAGGCCAATGGTGGGGGCCCCTGCAGTCCCCAGACCCCACCTCCTCCACTCGGTCCCCACCCCTCGGCCCCAGGACTCCTCTCTCCTCTCCACTTGGCCCCTGCCCCTGGGCCCTGGACCTGGGAGCAAAGGTGGGCTCCACACTGCCCCTGTGCTAACCCCGCAGGGCCAAGGCAGCATCCGGGCTTTCGGGCGGCTGGAGGACCAGGGGCCCGTGGAAGGAGAAGGTGACCGTGGCCAGCTCCCACCCCACAGCAGACTCGAGGAGGCCCTGAATCACACAGCACTGAACTCACCGCCAGGCTCTTCCTGTTTTCAGAGAATAATGACTTTACATTTGCTATGCACCCGCCACTATTTTTAGCTCTTTTAAAAAATAATGAGAACCTAAATAGGTGCTGAGATTTTCACATCAAAGTTGTCTGGATTCCGGCTCCGGGTCTGGCCACCCCGACTCAGACGCTCCTGCTCTGGGGGCAGCTCAGGCCACGCTCCCTCTGGGCTCTCCAGCCTCAGCCCTGTGCTGTGCGGCCCCCTCCTCTCCTGCTGCCGCCCACGTCACACCCAAGCTCCAAACTAATCCCCCAGCCCCTGCCCCTCCCTCGCCCCAGACCCTTAACTCTGAAAGCTCGGGTCCCTTCTCCCCACCAACCTCCCATGGCCTGTGGCAAACCCAGCCACCCTGCCTGGACAAGCGAGTGCACCTCCCTCTGGCTGGCCCCACAGCCTTCCTCTGTCAGGGGCCTGAGCCTCTGGTTGTGTGTGGAGGGCAGCGGGTGGCTGGTCTAGGCTGGGCCGAGATTGTGGAGGATGGAGGAGGGTGTGGAGGGCAGCAGGTCACCTGTCCGGGATAGGCCGAGATGGAACAGAGGCCAGGACGGTGGAGTCTGGGTTGCAGGACAGGAAAACCCCCATCCAGGCTGACCCAGCTCAGAAGGGAGCCTGCGGCCCACACCTGGCCACGCTACTGCCAGAATTTCTCCTCTTCCAACCGCTCAGCTCAGCATGGAGACACGCAGGTGCACAGGCATGTACAAGCCGCGCGCGCACACAGACATGGCTGCACAAGGTCACACACGGTGCTACCCAGACACCCACACGTGAAAAGCCCAGGATGCACCATCTTCCCAGCCAGCCACTGGCCTGAGTCCTGCCCACAGTCACCAAGGCTCCATCCCGCGTGCGGGAGCCCTGTCTGCCATCACCGAGCCTGTGGCTATGCTCTGTCCTGCACATAGACACAAGGTCATCTTTGCAGGGTCATAATGCATAGACCATCTGAAGCTCTAAGAGAGGCTGCACCTGTGTGACACCGCCTTGTGTGACAGCATCTTCTCGGTGACTTCATGGAGATACAAATCCCAGCAGCCAAGCATCGATGCTCACATCACTGGCCCTGGGGGAAATGCAAGTTGGAGCCACAGCAAGATGCTGCCACACCCATTAGGGCAGCCAGTCAAGAAGACCCACCAAGCCAAGTGTCCCCACGCATGTGGAGAAGCCCACGCCCTACTCAGTCTGGGTGGGAGCTTAAAATGGCACAACCACTTTGGAAAACTGCTTGGCAGTTTCTTCAAAAGCAAAATAGAGGCCAGGTGCGGTGGCTCACGCCTGTAATCCTAACACTTCGGGAGGCCGAGGTGGGTGGATCACCTGAGGTCGGGAGTTGGAGAGCAGCCTGACCAACATGGAGAAACCCCGTCTCTACTAAAAGTACAAAATTAGCCGGTCGTAGTGGCGCACGCCTATAGACCCAGCTACTCGGGAGGCTGAGGCAGGAGAATTGCTTGAACCTGGGAGGTGGAGGTTGCAGTGAGCCGAGATCATGCCATTACACTCCAGCCTGGGCAACAAGAGCGAAACTCCGTCTCCAAAAAAAGAGACACAGAAATTTCGTATGCAATTTAGCAATCCGCTCCTAGGTGTTGACCCAAGATAAATGAAAGGGCAAGGCTACGCAGACATGTTCCGTAACAACCCACGATCCACGCACAGGTGGGCACGTGAAGGAGCTGTGTGCATCCACGCACGGGTCCTGCTCAGCACGGAGAGGGGTGAGCTGCTGGTGTGATGGCAGCACAGGGCATCCCCGAGTGTGTTAGTCCATTCTCACACTGCCATAAACACATATCTGAGACGGGGTGATTTATAAAGAAAAGAGGATTAATGGACTCACAGTTCCACGTAGCTGGGGAGGCCTCGGGAAAGTTACAATCATGATAGAAGGCGAAGGGGAAGCAGGCACGTCTTAGCTGGTGGGAGGAGGGAGAGCGAGTGAGTAAAAGGGGAAGGTGCTGCACGCTTCCAAACAAGCAGATCTTGTGAGAACTCACTATCCTCAGAACAGCAAGGGGAAGTCCGCCCCAGGATCCAGTCACCCCCCAGCAGGCCCCTCCCCTGACGTGGGGATTACAGTTTGGCAGGAGATTTGGGTGGGGACACAGTTCCAAACCATACCGTCAGAGAAGCAGCGAGCTCAGTAAATGGGGCCAGATCAAAAGGAGGGAGGTAGTGAACAATTGCATTCGTGTGAAATTCCAGCAAATGTGAAGTCCTCAACAGGCCAGCAGCAGATCCGTGGCTGTCGGGGGTGGGCGGAGGAGGATGTGCTGGCTTCAGGCAAGCACGCGTCAAATACCTCAAACTGTGCTCCTCAAACGTGTGCAGATTGCATTTCTGTCCTGCGGGGGCTCAGACCCTCAATAGTAAGCTCCAGTGGGTGAAGCAGGCTGCTTTCCAGGTGGCCTGTGACATCCCCCAGCCCCTAGATGTCCAGCTGCCCTCAGGCCACCTCCCTGGGCTCCCATGGGCCTCCTCTCCCTGTGCCCCTCGGGGACCTCCAGGGCTCTGAGGAAGGCCAACCCCAGAGATGTGGGCATCTGCCCCAAGATGGAGGCCCCCGCCGACTCTGTGGGCCTCCAAGTGGGAGGACTTGGCTGCAAGGAGATGAGGAGGGCACTGAGTCATGCAGGAGGCCAGTGTGCCTGGAACGAGGTTCAGATCTGGGGGAGGGGCTGATTTTGTCCCTGAGCTGCTTTTAGCAGAAAAGCTGAGTGCTGAGGTCAGCTGAGGCTGAAGTCCTGCTTATGCCTTCATCTCCCGGAGCTCATCCCCACTCCTGCACTGTGGCCGTAGCTCCAGGCAGCCGCGCACTGACCCCACCCCACAGGCCTAGGTGGAACTGAAGGTCCAAGCCCCATGCCAGACCCTCATCCAGGCAGCGACCCCTGGGCACAGGAGGCATGGCAGGGACACCAATTTCCTCCTCCTCCTGTCAGTTCGGGCAAAGATGCCAGGGCCACAGACCACCATCTGGCTGCCCCAAACTGCTTTCTCCAAAAGGGCTTGCTCCAAAGCTTTGCCCACCAAGTCCTGCAGCTGCTCAGTGTCCCGCCGGGCCTCACCTTAGGTAACAAACAGCAGTAGCCTCAGCAGCAGCTGGCTGTTCTTACCTTCACTACCTCCAGGAGCTTTGAGCAAAATTACAGCAACCCAAGGGCAGGGGGAGGCTGTGCTGCCAGCGGAGGGTGGCCCCTGTGCGCATACCAGCACTCAGAGCCCCTTAGATGGGGTGGGAACCTGCCCCCAGCCCCGGGTGTGCCGGGCAGTCACACGCAAGCTGAGGATGCTGGTTTCAGGTCTGGGGCACCCGCTTTGTGGAAGAGGTTGCAGATCCTGTAGATGTCATGGGCCTTAGATTAGGATAGAGGGGGCTTCTGGCTGGTCTAATGACTGGAGAAGGGCACAGAAGAGGCAGGTCTGTGTGGCACAGCCCCCACATTCTGGCCTTGGCACTTCCCCAAGATCAAACTCGAAGTCCCTGCTGCCAGCCCCCTCAGCTGCTGATATGGTTGCCTCTGTGTCCCCACCCAAATCTCATCTCTAATTGTAATCCCCACATGTTGAGGGAGAGAGGTGATTGGATCCTGGGGGCGGTTTCCCCATGTTGAGTGAGTGCTCACAAGATCTGGCTGTTTGATAAGTGTGAGGCTCTTTCCTCTTTGTGCACTCTCCTGCCGTCTTGTGAAGAAGTGCCTGCTTCACCTTCCACCATGATTGTAAGTTTCCTGAGACTTCCATAGCCATGGGGAACTGTGAGTCAATTAAATCTCTTTCCTTTATAAGTCACCCAGTCTTGGGTGTTTCTTTTTTTTCTTCTTTTTTTTTTTTTTTTTTTTTTTTGAGAATAGAATCTCACTCCGTCCCCAGGCTGGAGTGCAGTGGCGCAATCTCGGCTCACCTGCAAGCTCACCCCCCCAGGTTCACGCTATTCTCCTGCCTCAGCCTCCCTGAGGTATAGCTGGACTACAGGCGCCTGCCACCACGCAGGCTAATTTTTTGTTTTTTTAGTAGAAATGGGTTTCACCATGTTAGCCAGGGATGGTCTTGATCTCCCTGACCTCGTGATCCCGCCCACCTTGGCCTCCCAAAGTGCTGGGATTGCAGGACTACAGGTGTGAGCCACCTGTGCCTGCCCTTTTTTTTTTTTTTTTTTTGGATGTAGTGTTGCTCTTCTGCTCCAGGCTGGAGTCCAGTGTCGCAAACCTCGTCTCACTGCAACCTCCAACCTCCCGGTTAAAGCAATTCTGCCTGAGCCCTCCCAAGTAGCTGGGATTACAGGCACACGCCACCATGCCCCGGCTAATTTTTTGTGGGGTTTTTTTGTTTTTTTTT